AAGGAACATGAGGACGACCTTTCCCTGTGTTTTCCATCACTATTGGATTTACCGGAACACTCTGCAGGCATGATAAGATCGGCGATGAAGAATATTCCTCTCACACCCACTGTAGCCAGATCAAGGGTCCTATCTAACATTCATAACTTCTCCCCATACGTACCTCCAAAGCCACCTAGGGCGTCCAACTCAAATTCTCCCACAAAATCCACCCGTCCCTCAAATTCTAACTCGAATTCACCCGCAAAATCCACAGGTCCCTCCCCTAACCCCAAAACCATTCCAGCCCCACCCCCACCCCCCCTCGTTTCCCATCACCAAGAACCCCTCCACCTCCACTCCCCCCTCGTCCATCTCCCAACTCCTGCCCCTCCCCTAACACCCATCCACCTCCAACCCCCCCTCGTCCAACACCCAAGAACCACCCACCTCCTCCATCCTCCTCCCTCCTCTCCCTAGGATGCACAGGGTCTCTGCTTCGCAGCCACTGGCAGTCTAGTTAGAGGAGAGACCCGGCTGGGGCCCTGTCATGAAGCCACCTGTGCCATTCCCTTAGTGATAACACAAAGAATACATTACAGAAAGACATCTGGAGTTAATCAGTCTAATCTGGAAAATCTAATTCTTGTTCCGTGTAAGAATCAGCCGACCACAACCGCTGATACTGAAACTTTGAAACTTGCTATGCTAAATGTCAGATCTCTTTCTAACAAGTCTTTTTTAATCAATAATTTTATTTGTTCTTATAATCTTGATCTTATGTTCATGGCTGAAACATGGCTTGACCAAAATACAGAAAATGCAGTTTTAATAGAAGCATCACCACCAAATTTCAAATTTGAATCTGAAATACGGGAAAACAAAAAAGGAGGAGGCTTAGCTGCCATTTTTAGAGACCACTTTGTCTCCCATAGAATGTCTCTTGGGAAGTTTCCGTCTTTTGAATATGTGTCTTTTAAAATACAACAAAAACAATCTCCTCCAATACTCTTCATAGTCCTATACAAGCCACCGCAGTCATGTCACAGTTTTATTGATAATTTTACCGAGTTGCTTTCAGTTGTATGCACAGATTTTGATAGTTTAGTTATTACAGGTGATTTTAATATTCATGTGGATAATGTTGATGACAGAAATGCAAAAGAGCTGAGTTCTTTGCTTGATACCTTTGGTCTCACTCAGCATGTGAGTGGCCCCACCCACAGCAGAGGGCACACTCTAGACCTGTTAGTTACAAAGGGGGTGAATATTTCAAATATAAGCGTGGTCGATGTTGCTCTTTCGGATCATTTCTGTGTATTTTTTGACATGTGTTTCACTAACAAACCACCAGTGGACTCTGCAACTGTTCGAAGAAGACACATAAATGAAAATACGAGTGAACTATTTATGGGAATGATAAACTTTGAAAATGCATCATATTCTACTGTAGATGAACTGTTTAACTCTGTCACCTCTAGTGTTTTGAATGTTCTGGATACCGTTGCCCCTGTGAAGGTTAAAATAGTGAAAAATAAGCAGAAGGCGCCGTGGGCTAAAGCAGACTCGGTCAGGGCACAAAAGAGAAAGTGCCGGAGGGCTGAGCGGAAGTGGCGCAAGTCCAACCTCCAGGTTGATTACAAGATCTTCAAAGATAAGTTGTGCGAGTTTAACCGGGTGCTACGTAGTACGAGAGAAAGGTATTTTTCTGAAATGATTGAAGGCTGCAGTAACAATCTGCGTGTTCTGTTTTCAACAGTTAATAGATTAACAAACCCCCCTGTTCAGATGCCATTAGAGCTAACTTCCAAACGTAAATGCAATGAGTTTGCACACTTTTTCAATGACAAGGTTCAAGGCATCAAAAACGCCATTGTCTCCAATCCACAGATGACCATCCAACAGCCAAAAAGGCTTTCTGAGCTAACTTACTTTGCACCTGTAGATGATAAAAATGTCCAAGAAATAATCTCCAGTTTGAGCTCCTCCACATGCAGCCTGGATGTACTACCCACTAGATTTCTGAAGTCTGTTCTGAGCAGTCTGTTACCTTCACTCACACAGATAGTAAACATGTCCCTTCATTCTGGAATATTCCCAAAGGCCCTGAAAACTGCAGTCATCAGGCCCCCGCTAAAAAAGAGCAGCCTGGATGCTACGGTACTTAACAACTATCGTCCCATCTCAAATCTGCCATTTATGGGGAAAGTCCTTGAAAAAGTTGTCTACCTACAGCTTACTAGATTTCTTATAATTAACAACTCATTTGATATGTTTCAGTCCGGCTTTAGACCCCACCACAGCACTGAGACTGCTCTTGTCAAGGTTAGAAACGATATCCGGCTGAACACTGACGCAGGCAAAGTCTCAATCTTAATCTTGTTAGATCTGAGTGCTGCCTTTGACACCGTCGACCATGAGATCCTCCTACAGAGACTAGAGGACTGGGTTGGAGTCGCTGGCACCGCCCTAAGTTGGTTTAGGTCTTACCTTGAAGACAGGAAGTACCTTGTGGAGATTGGAAACTGTGTCTCAGATCATATGGCCCTGACCTGTGGAGTGCCACAGGGGTCGATCCTGGGACCTCTTCTGTTCAATCTCTACATGCTGCCGTTAGGTCAGTTAATACGCAGAAACAAAGTGTCCTATCACAACTATGCAGACGACACTCAGATCTATGTCTCACTGACTGCAGGAGAACATGGACCAGTGGACTCACTCCTTCACTGTATCCAACAGATCAGTGAGTGGATGCAAAACAACTTCCTTCAGCTAAACGCAGAAAAAACTGAAATGATTGTCTTTGGTCCCCAGAAACAAAGAGAGAGCGTCATCTGTCACCTACAGTCTCTCTCCCTAAAACCTTCAAACAAGGTCAGAAATCTAGGGGTAATACTGGACTCAGACTTAAATTTTAATAGCCACATCAAATCAGTAACATCAGCAGCTTTTTACCATCTAAAAAACATTGCCAGGATCAAAAACATAGTGTCTAAAGCAGACTTGGAGATTCTTATCCATGCATTTGTCTCCAGTAGGTTAGACTACTGCAATGGCCTGCTCACAGGTCTGTCCAAACAGGCTGTAAAACAGCTGCAGTACATTCAAAATGCAGCAGCTCGAGTCCTGACTAGAACCAGGAAGTACGACCACATTAGTCCGGTCCTCAGGTCCCTGCACTGGCTTCCTGTGGCTCAGAGAATAGACTTTAAAACAGCTCTGCTTGTGTACAAATCTCTCCATGGCCTCGCACCAAACTATATTAGTGACATGTTAGTCCCATATGAACCAGCCCGGACTCTGAGGAGCACAGGGACTGGACTCCTGTTAGTGCCCAGAGTCAGAACTAAACATGGGGAGGCTGCTTTTCAGATTCATGCTGCTAAAATCTGGAACAGTCTTCCTGAAGATGTGAGACAGGCCTCCTCTCTGACAATGTTTAAGACAAGGTTGAAAACAGTTCTGTTTAGCTGTGCATACAACTGAGGGATTTTATATTTTTATCTTTTTTTTTTTATGTACTGTGATTATTTATGATTTTAATGCTTTCTTGTTCTGTTCAGCACTTTGAATTGCCTTGTGTATGAATTGTGCTATACAAATAAACTTGCCTTGCCTTGCCTTGCCTATTGCAAGAAGCAGATATTTGACACAAGTATCATTGTCATTATGTGATATTTGTCTTGTTATGTTAAAAGGAGCTGTGAACATAGAAACAAATTTGTTTGGCTTTGAGGTTAATTCAAAGCTGAGGCACATACCTTACATTAAACTTGCAGGTTTAATGTAGTTTTGGGCTAATTGGCGGAAGTTGAGGAAAACTATGATCCACCTCTGTGTGTGATGAAGCTGTTGGTGGGCTAACATGTGTGACTGAATACGAATGTGGGGATAAAGGAGTCAGTGACAGATAGGAACAAGTTATATGAATGTGTGAGATTTCATAACACTTTGAAGCAACTTTTGTTAAAGTTAAACTCATCATTCTATCAATGTGCAGAAGCCAGTACGTTTCCCTTGTTTTGTCTATCTGAAGGCCAAGCTACAAGGCACCGTGGAAGCTGCTGATTGGAGGTCTCCATGCCTCCGCTCTGTATAATACACTTGTATTCTGTTGTTCGTGTTGTTCGTGCTGTCTCTACCATCGACAATAAAACATGTCTTCTGTCTGAATGTAAGACGCGATCCCAGACTTTGTCATCTTCTTCAGGTGGTGGAGGATGCGGGCATTGTCTGTAACATCTACAGAACGGAAGACCTTTTTTTTTTTACACAAAAATTTGTTTTTTTTTTTAAGCCAAAACTGAGAAACCTCAAGAGAAACCATGCGTCTGGACCAGCACACTTGGACAATCTGCACAGCCCCTGATTCCAGTCAGGCCTGCTGTGAGCTGCTGAGACATGGACAAGACCATCGTCCTCTTTTGCATGGACATAATTTGGAAAAATTGGACTACACAATTTGGACATAATTTGGACTGAATTGAATTGCTGAATCTGGACACTGAAGCTGAAACGTGTGATTGAAAGACACGTCACAGAAGAATTCATGGCTCGACACGATAAATGCAGCCTAAAGAAACCAACACGGAGAAGTGGGAGAGACTGTTTTCAAAGCAGTATCTGGAACCACCATCGACTGATGAAGTTTGGTATTTTACTGAAGATTGTTGACAAGTTTTATGAAAGATCTGAAAATGTTTTATGAGTTGTCTGAGTTTTTGAAGTATTCCGAGTTCTGAGTTTTTTGAAGTACCGAGTGAAGTACCGAGTTAAAGTATTGAGTTATGATATTATGTTGCTGTTTATCGATCCTGATGGTCACACGGGAATGTGTGACCAGAGGGGGGAATGTGAGATTTCATAACACTTTGAAGCAACTTTTGTTAAAGTTAAACTCATCATTCTATCAATGTGCAGAAGCCAGTACTTTTTCCTTGTTTTGTCTATCTGAAGGCCAAGCTACATGGCACCGTGGAAGCTGCTGATTGGAGGTCTCCATGCCTCCGCTCTGTATAATACACTTGCATTCTGTTGTATCTGTGTTTGTGTTGTTCGTGCTGTCTCTACCATCGACAATAAAACATGTCTTCTGTCTGAATGTAAGACGCGATCCCAGACTTTGTCATCTTCTTCAATATATTACCCTCACATGGTTAAGTAGGTTTTTTAACAATAACACATTTTTATAGATAATATACAGAGTCAATCATAATATTTGAATTACTGTTTACAACTGATATCAGAATCAGAATCAGAATCAGAATAATTTTTATTGCCATGTAAGTAACAGGAAGTCACAGACTTGGAAATTGCTTTGGCTCAGTGCAACAGTCAGAAAGAGATAATAAAAAATAAAGAATAAAAAACACTTCTAAGGAATACATTTAAATTTAAAATAGAGTTACAGTTACTATTTACAATATACAAGTGCACATGGTGCACACAATGTGAGGTGACAGCCGTACAGTGAAGTAAAGTGACGTGTGATGGGCAGTAAAGATATTGTTACAGTACAACAGCTTTGATAATTCTCATTCCACTTAAATTAAACACACAAATACATCAGAAATTATTCAGACTAATTCAAGCTCAAATGTTATAAATTACTATTAAATTGGCAAAATTAGATAAAGACAGCATGCTGCCTGTTGTGTTTTCCCCTTTCTATCGTGACAAACAATCATAAGGTTAAAAAAGTTAGGCATCCCATAAATGTTAAATTATTTGTTATAATATTTTATGGCAGCAAGGATAATACGGGTTAATACCATAAGGATACTTGAATGGTTGAAGTGATGGCTGACAAGGGTGTGGTACGCCTTCCTGTCCACGCGGGGCGCTGTGTGTGTAGCTCCGGTAGCTCCTATCACTTTAACGGCCCTCACGTGGAGCTGTGAGCTGTGGCCGGTGCTGTGCGCGTGCTGCTGTCGTTACTGTTGCTAACGGAACCGAACCTTTAAAACTTCAAAATATGACACAAGAACTGGAGAAGCTGCTCTCTCAGCTTACACAGCCTGACAATGAGGTTATTCAGCAGGTAATAAGACTTATTGCTTTAAATGTCTATTCTTGGTGTTGGTGACAAATATCCCCAAAAAAGCGATGTTTTGTCTCTTCTTTACTATTAATTTTTGGCTTGTGCGATTTATACTACGACTACTACTACTACGATTTTTACTATTTGATCAACGTTTCCCCAGCAAGAAAGCAAATCTAATGCATAATGTCATTCTGTTTCAAAATATCAGCCATGGTTACTGTTTTAATGTGTCCTAAATAATGTAGCTATATCTTCCCCAAATATACCTCAATCAAATGCTTTGTGTTTGTCTGCTAACACTGAACGCTGAACTTTTTTTCCATTCAGGCCACAGTCCAGCTTAAACAGGCTTTCAAAGACCCTGGTATTATCCCTGCCCTGTGTGCCATCATCGGGGGATCCCAGAGTCCGCAAGTATGCTGTTTGGTTAAGTCTATTCATGGCTTTCTGCTTCCTCTTTCATTCACCCATTCAATTGATATAATGGCCACGATGGCAACTGTCCCCATTGTGCATCACTCAGTCACTCCTAGATAAATATGGCAGTAATATTGAGATCTGTGTCATCTTGCAGATTCGTCAAACTGCGACAGTGATGCTCAGATTGAGGGTGAAAAAACATTGGAAGAAAATAAGTCCCAACGACAGAGAGAGGTCTGAAGTCGTTTGTTGTTGTTGTTTGATTCGTTATAATAAACTTTCTCTCTATTTTTTTCTGTACAGTCTGAAAGCAGGGGTCTTGCAGACATTTATGCAAGAAACTGAGTGAGTTTCTTGTGTATTTCCAATGTTATAAGGCAGTCAAGACCAAAACTTTTAAATGTGTATTTCAGACACACTGTACGGCACTCCCTCTCTCAGCTCTGCTCTGTGATGGTTAAACACGAGACTCCTGACCGTTGGCCTGCTCTGCTTCAGCTTCTGAGTCAGGCCACGAAGAGCCAAAATCCTCATGAGAGACAGGTTTGTTTCTGATACATCTTTACATTATGGCTGTCCAATTTAGTCGTTTATTCAATTAATCGGTGTCAATATTCAGTCAACTAATTATCCATAGGATTTGGATGGGAAAACTGCAACATTTATGGGCTAAAGATTTTGGTATTTACTTCAGAGTTCAGATTTTATTCACTGGTTTGATTTAGTCTCTTTATTATTAGGGGACTGCTTGGATTATGATTCCAAAATAGTTTTTACATGAAAGTCAGAAAATAAATAATTTTCAAGCTTTTGTCACGTTTGCTGTTAAGTCGACCAATCAACAAGATTTTATGGTTGTCTCCAGCTCTAGTTTGCATTTTAAATCATGAGTGGCCTCTATTCATAAGTTATACTTTATACTTTTAGGTGGGCCTTCTGTTGCTGGCTAAAGTTGTGGAGTCAAACCCTGAGTCGTTCAAGCCTCACTACCATCAGCTGCTGATGCTTCTGTCCACTGTCCTGGAGGATCTAGACAACCCCACGGCTCTGTTTTACGGCATCTCCACCATCACCGCTCTGACCCCGTACACCGGCTCTGAGGAGATGGTGAGTTTGAAAGTAACTGCTCAAGTTCGTCTGAAAAGCTTTTATTATCAACCATATTCTTCTCCCCAGAATCAAATGCGCTCCATGATTCCAAATCTGATCACAGCTTTTAGACCACTCATCAAGTCAAACCAGGTAAATGGAAAATAATACAAATATACATTTATGATCTCGCATTAATCATTGTATTTGATACAATATATTAGGACCAGGCCAGTGAGGCCATGGAAGTGTTCAATGAGCTTATGGAGAGTGAAGTTTCCATAATTGTGCCACATGTGGCTGCTATTGTCAGCTTCTGCCTGGAGGTACTCTGCATTCATCGTTCTGGGCAGTATTATACTGTGTTGGATCAAAACACTGATTTGTTTCTGGACAGGTGGGCGCCGACACCACTCTGATTAGCTCCTTACGCATCAAGGCTCTGTCATGTCTGATCTTCCTCATAAGATTAAAGAGCAAAGTAAGTCGAACAATTTTCTGACATGAGCCATGAGGCATTAACCAAATTGTTTCTCTTTTAGGTCGTGATTAAGCAGAAGCTATTGAATCCCATTCTACAGTCCATCTTCCCTGTGCTCACTGCAACGCCCCCTCCTGGTGAGGAAGACCCTGAAGATCAAGAGGATAGTGATGATGAAGATCATGACAGCCCCAAACATGTTGCTGCTCAGGTAATGGCTAATGTTTGTTGTCAGTTTCAATAATGGTGATGAATATGCTCATTAATAATGTTAATATTTGGCTCTTTGTTTTAACAGATTATTGACACTATGGCACTTCACATGCCTCCAGAGAAACTTTTCCAGCAACTTGTAAGTTTGCTATGATCTATTGCCTTTTTTTTTTGTAAAACGTTTTTACTTATTGGTTGGTTTGTATTACGTTAGATGCCTCTGACTCGGGCAGCTCTTTCAAGTGAAGACCCGTATCAGAGGAAGGGCGGCCTCATGTGCCTAGCTGTGTTGGCAGAGGGGTGTGCCGAGCATATCCGCACCAAGTAAATGTTTGAATCCACTACGTTCCTTGTGTCTAACTTTGTATGTGAGAAAGACTCTTAGCTTCTCTGTTTGTCACTAGGATGCTGCCTTCACTGCTTCAGACTGTTTGCCAAAGTCTTTCTGACAATAACCAAGTTGTGCGCAGTGCTGCCCTTTTTGCACTTGGTCAGTTCTCTGAGCATTTGCAGGTAATGAAAAAAAAAAAACATACCTATTGTACATATTGTATCTGTCGCTAACACTTCACTAATAACATGTGATGACTTTCATATTAAAGCCAGATATCAGTAAATATTGTGCAGAGCTGATGCCTCTACTCCTGCAATACCTGTCATGTTTGAACGAGACAAAGACTGTTCATGTCACAAAAGCCTTTTATGCCCTGGAAAACTTTATGGAAAATCTTGGTATGAAATTAAATGAGTTATTTTTTTAAATAAAACATATTTTCTAGTTTTCTACTTGTGTTTGTGTACTTTTCAGGGTCTGACATTGAGCCTTATCTTTCTCACTTGATGGAAACCATGCTGACTACTCTCAACACTGCTGAAAGTTTAAGGATAAAGGAGTTAGCTGTGTCTGCAATCGGAGCCATAGCCAATGCTGCAAAGGAGCTCCTTGTTCCATACTTCTCTCCAGTTATTGAAAACCTGAAGGGTTACTTGACGGCCACCACAGAGGAGATGAGGTCTCTGCAAACTCAGGCGTTGGGTGAGTTTTTTAATTATATTTTCTACATTGTCATATGTAAACAGTGGTGTTTAACACATCGCTGGAATGGCGCCGGTGTTCTGTCGAGTTGGTCTGCCCGTCGAGATCTGGCTCAGCTGTTAATGATGTAATGCAAACCTGCACATGCGCGTCTCACGGCAGCCGAAGCAATCCAAGATGGCGGACATGTAGTCCGCGAATTGCTTTAAAAGATAAATACAAACAAATTATGACATGAATGTCACTTTTAATGCAATTTGAGGCCAGATGTTGATGGTTCCGCGTTGTGATATGTGTGTTTTAAGAGTAAGAGTTTCGTGTAAAGTTTGTTTTAAGCAGTCCACTGCTCCTGTGAAACTACACTGCTGCTGTGTGATCGCAGTCCCTGAGTTGACTGCTGCATACGTCAGGCCCATGACGCGTCCTGTGACTGGTCTGTCGGGTTGATAATGGAAATAATAAATTAAATTTTATGCATGTATCATACTGTATTCAATATGATTAACAATAGTGTGTTCAAACGAAATATTTAATTAGATTGAGTTTTTTCCCCATTCTGGCGGGTTTCTGCGCATGGGCAAGTCAGATTTGGGCACACTAGCAGTGTAGTTTCACAGGAGCAGTGTACTGCTTAAAACAAACTTTACACGAAACTCTTACTCTTAAAAACACACATCACAACGCGGAACCATCAACATCTCGCCTCAAATTACATTAAAAGTGACATTCGTGTCTTAATTTGTTCGTATTTAACTTTTAAAGCAATTCGCGGACTACACGTCCGCCATCTTGGTTTGCTTTGGCTGCCGTGAGACGCGCAGCGCAGGTTTGCATTACATCATTAACAGCTGAGCCAGATCATCTCGACGGGCAGACCAACTCGACAGAACACCGGCTCACTTCAAATGGATTTCCATTTTAATCATACAAACGGCATACTGTACAAAGACTAGCTCAATCCACTCCAACTCACATACAGTTCTTGTGCCTACAGATTCCACTTTTATAGCACTATTTTTGGACACTCAATGTTGCTATACATGAAATTAATTCACTCAAACGTGGTTAACTAGGTCTTCTGATTGATTCTACAAGTGGACCAGAGTTTCTTTTTCAAACCTGACTGTTTCCACTTGTGTATCAGAGGGGTCACTGTTTTACAGCTTTTGGAGCTGTCATCTTACCACCAGAGGCAGGACAACAACGCCATTGGCTCCTAGAAACGTATAAGGAACAAAAAGGAACAAAAAACCTTCTGTTCTTAAAAATAATAATTCAGTCATAGTTCATTGTGGGATGAACTATTACTGACACAAACGGCTATTTTATATTGGCTACTTTGCAGTACGAACACTTGCTGTGCTTAGCAATATTCCAATCAGACCGTTGGTAATCCACATAAACTAAGCTTTATCGACTCTCACCAGTGAAAGGATCTGATCCTCCTTTTTGTTGTTTGGGAAAACCACTTCACTTTTCCTGTTCAAAATTCATATTTCTGATTGTAATCTTGCCTTTGCTGCAGACACACTGTCAGTGCTGGCTCGCACCATTGGCAAAGACGTGTTCAGCCCTCTGGCTGCAGAGTGTGTGCGTCTGGGACTTAACCTCACGGACAACATAGACGACCCAGATATCAGGCGCTGCACGTGAGGCCTTTTACAGACTGAAGCTCTCATTCTATGTATTTTTAAATTGTGATTAATACAGATTTGAAAATTAACTTTTCTTTGTCCTGTTTTTGAATAGGTACAGTTTGTATTCTGCAGTGTCGATGATCAGTCCTGAAAGCCTGACACCTCACCTCACCAACATCACCACCGTCATGGTGCTGGCACTCAAGTCCAACGATGGAATCACGGTATGAAGCAAACGCATCCTTTCGCTTTGGTTAAGTCTGTGCAAGACGACCAAAACTACTTTTCATGTATCCCCTCAAGGCACATGTTGAAGAAGACAAAACATTTGTCCTTTTGGATGATGAAGATGACGATGAGGAGGAGCATGAGGAGAAAGATGTCAGTGACTTCATGGGAGATGACTCTGAGGCTGACATCAAAGATATTTCGCAGTAAATTCACACAAACTATTAACTTTGTCTGACAAAAGAAAAGCACTGATTTGTGATCTTTAGATTCACAGTTGAAAACGCCTACATGAATGAGAAGGAGGATGCCTGTGAAGCACTTGGAGAGATCGCCTTACACACTGGGTACAGAAAACACCGGGTTCTTTATTAATTAAATGTTTGTACATGTGTACATATCTATGTGATCTGTGAGAAAAAAAAAGAAGAAAAAAACGTAACTTATAAATGAAAAACATTAAAGAAATTCAGATTTGTGCATATTAGAGCTTTCTGGTGTTACACTGAAAATAATCTGAGAATCTGTGTGCAAGTTTCCCCTTTGTTAGTACACATTTTTTTGAAATCATGCCTTTCGACTTTTTCCAACCAATGCTGCATTATGCATAATTCACTTGTTAAATGACGCTGTCTTAAATCGTTGACAGTGCTGCATTCCAGCCTTTTATGGAGTCCTGTTTCCAGCAAGTTTACGAGTTAAGAGAAGTAAGCTCACTCTGTGCATACTGTGGTGTAAATGTGGTACTTTTGAATTCGCAAGTTTAATATTTTGTCTTCCTTTTAGCATGCTCATGAGGATGTTCGCAAGGCAGCGATGGCAGCTATGGGCAACTTTTGCTTATCTCAACATAAAGTTTGGAAAGAAAATCCCACTGAAGTGAACCTCCAGGGTGAGGTTTTATTACTTCCTAACTGTCAATATACAGGAGAGCATATGTTTGTATCTTTGCGTGTTCATGACAGCGCTTCAAAAGTTACTGGACTTGGTGCTGCCTAACCTCTTTGAGGCAGTGAAGACAGATGGGGAGCGTCAAGTAGTGATGGGAGTCCTTGACACAATTAACAGTGTTGTAAAATCCTGCAAAGAGGAAGTGTTCAAGAACCCTACACGACTCAATGAAGTTTGCACCACAATAAGTGATGTGCTCAAGAAAAAGGTAGGTTTAAAGCCAAGGAAAAAAAGAGCTTTAAATGTTAAGCGTTGTTCCAATATTTGTCTCCTTTTGTCTCTGTAGACAGCTTGTCAGGACGGTGGTTGTGATGACGCAGAAGATGAAGAGGTTTGGAACTTATTCAAGCATGCTGCTTATTCAGGCTTGCTCACAATGTTTTTCTAGGCTGAGTTTGATGCCATGCTCCTGGAGTATGCTGGAGAAGGGATCCCCCTCGTGGCAGCTGCTGTCCCTGCAGATGCTTTTGCTCCATTCCTCAATGACCTGCTGCCAACGCTCCTTAACAAAACTGTGAGTCACATTAACTTGGACCCGTCACATCTCCAGTACTTTCAACACAATGGCTGCCAACACTCTAGTATTGATCATTTATTCTTTCTTCAGAAATCCACTTGTACTGTGGCAGACCGCTCCTTCTCTGTGGGCACTATTGCAGAGTTACTGGCGGCTCTCGCCAAGGTTCCAGGAGGTCAGCGGCTGGCAGGGCGCCTGTCCAACAGGTTGTTTCCTGTGCTGGTGACCGGAACCAAGGACCCTGACGACGAAGTGCGCAACAACAGTGTTTATGCTATGGGTTGTCTGGCTGAAGCTGCCGGACCTATCGTAGTATCGGACTATCCCACAATGCTCTCTGTTCTTTCAAAATTGCTGACTAAAGAGACTAGCCTCCTAGTGCGGGACAACCTTTGTGGTGCCCTCTGCAGGATGATCATTGGTAATGCTGATGCTGTCCCACTAGAGCAGGTGATTGTTGTTTTTGCATTTAAATCATCATGAAGTTTTTTACCAAATTTACAAAACTCATCTGTGCAACAGGTTTTTCCTGCGTTGGTGGCTGGACTGCCGCTCAAAGAGGACCTGAATGAAAACAAGACGGTTTACAATTGTCTGGCATTGCTCTACAGCAAGAATCCTGCCATGGTAAACCTGCGCTGCCTTTTATGCGTACATTGTTCTAAGCAATGTACACCTTTTAATCTTTAAGCAATTTACTAAAAAAACATATTTTTTTAGATTGTGCAGCACATGAAACCTATTGTAGCCTCTTCAAGCCTTGTCCTGGGCCATAAAGATACTGATGAAGGTAACGAGAGTATCCTCCTCTTAAGTGCTTTACAGTCACATGTTAAGTTGTGTTGCTGGAGTCTGACTTGTGTGTGTTCTACAGAGACCCGGAGTGCTGTGGTGCTGCTCCTGAGGCAGCTGCTGCAGCAGCACTCAGCAGACTTCCACACGGCTGTGACGGCTCTCCCTGCAGAGAATCAGGCCAAACTTGGCTCAGCAATCTCCTCTTCATGAATGGGACTGAACACAATAAGCTAAACTAAATATAGCACTTTAACCATGGTTCTTTCTCTCATGTATTTTATTATTAACTTTGGATTTCCCCCTCCTGTTACAAACTGCAGCCAAATGAATCACAATTTGTATCAAATTTGGTCTTTGTTTATTTAATGTTTATTAGGTTGGGACAGTACATATTAATGAACACATCACTCCGGATTGTAGCCATGGGCTAATTTGCATCCGTTGTCCCACATTCGCACTCACACACACTCATTCACCCTGAGCTATTGCACATGTTTTAAGCGGTAGGGGAAACCGGAGAACCTGGGGGAAACCTACGTAGACACGGGGAGAACACGCAAGCTCCACTCAGAAAGGCCCTGTTCCGACCGGGAATCGAGTGCTATCCACTCAGCCACCGTGCCGCCCTTTGTTCTATTTCAACTTAATTGAGGCAGATGCATCAGAATTAATCTTTGAGTATAATTATCTTGTGTATCATTGTTGGTGAGAATACTCATGATACTTTTGAATTATATATATTTTTAAATATTCTGTTACATGATTGAATCTGAGAACTGTATGCTGAACACTTAATACTTTCAGGCTCATTCACATTAGAGTGAAAATTCAGCGATGGGTTTTTCAACTTTTATGCTTTTAAAACGCATACTTCAAAAAAAATGTGTCTTTGTATAATATCCTGTCAACATTGCAAAATCAAATACTGAAATGTACTCAACATTTGGAAAATCTAAATACCACTGAAAGAAAAAGTATTGTATTCCAAATTCTGTTAGGTATTTGGAACACAATACTTTGGTATTCTGGATACATACACAGATACATGTATTCTGTTAAAGTTTATCACGTCGAAGCACTGAAAGCCTTTTGTCGTCCTCCTGTGAGGTGATTCTTGGGAACAGGTGGTGACTTGTTGCTCTCAGATGTCCCGTTGTGCTTTGGTGCCATTCGAGTGTCTATTTTCCACATTCAGGTCCATAGTCATCTGCACTGGCTCCAGCTCATTTTCTCCTGGCAAAGGCACAAGAAGCTTAATGACAATCTCCTACTTACAGTATGTAACATCTGTCTCCACTGATGAAAGGGGACTGATCGATGGTCTATGATGGAGTGTACAAATCATATTCCGTACCTGTGTAATGTTGTTTCCAAGGCACAATGTCCATCCCAGTTCTGCAAAACGAGCGGTCTGTGTGGGCCTCTGTGCTGTACAAAACCTCCTGGAGAATCTTGTCTCCGGGTTTTTGAGCTTTCACACGAACCTATACAAAAACATTTAGTCCACCAGAACAGTTACTGAAATCATAATGAAAGTAAGAGATTAAATACTTCTTATATTGATCATTTCTTGTGACCTTCACCAATGAATAAAACAGATCAGTTTAAATGTTTGAGTTAATTAAAGCACAAGTCTAAGATCTGTTAAAGTTGCAATAAGTAAGATTTTTATCATTGAATGGCCCCAATCTGTCAAAAAGCATGAATAAACCATGCTCTTTTCCAATACTTATTTAACTGATTACAGTAGTTCAGAATTTCAAAATTGGATTTACAGCGCCTAAATCTTATTTTTGTTTTTATTTTGTTGTCCTGCCCTCCATCGTTTTACCAATCAGAAAGTCCTTAATCCGGGTTGCCAGAACTCACTGCGTCGAGCTAATCTCACTGGTAAAGTAACACGTGGGTAGTACTAAAAAAGGTCTTGTTATAATTCTCAAATCATCAAGGAATAAAATTAGGATTTCTATCGCAGTTTTTGTGAAAGATGTGTTATTGATTTGTTGTTGACAAAACTCTTGTCAGAGTTCAGATATTATGGTCCCAGCTGTATTTGTCTGCATATCTGGCAACCTGAATCAGGGAGAGTGGGAGAAGTTGCAGTTCCACTTTTGGCCAGAATTTTTTTTTTTTTTTTACATGCTGTTCCTTTAAATGCTAGGCCGTCCGTGGAATATGGTATGCAGAGCAGAGCCATAATGTCTCAATGGAGAAAGGCAGATTTATTTTACCTCCAAAATAGTGGTCTCTTTCTCCTTTAATTTGCCAGCTTTATTCTTCACTTGTGTTTTTGTGGTGTCGACCCATACCACTCTTTCCTTCACTTCTGACCTGCCAACACAAAGTCGCCAAATCAAAAACAGGCTACACTGCCATTTCAATCCCAGTATTGTTAAGACAAATAGACTTGAAATCGTCCATGGATAGAAAACAATTTAACATTTCATGATAGAAGACAGGTGTTGGATCAGAGAGTGTTTGGGGCTGTATCTTTTCCGAGAGAGTGTGTGTGCGCCTTGGCAGCCACAAGGGATAACACACGCCAAAGCTAATCAAATAACGGGGTATTGACTCCTGAGAAAACTTTGTATACTTTTCAACTTTTCACTTAGTCATTAGCCTACACTTCACAAACTCCTACCACTTGACTGATGTAAAAGTATTAGAAATATTCATCAAAACCCTATCGTATTTTGTCTTATTCTGTGTTATAAACTCACTCTTGTATTCCCAAATCTGCCAGTGTTGTCTCAAGAAAGGGGAAAGGCTGGTGCGCTGGGTCTGGCTGCATTTGAATGGGCAGAGTGACGGCCATGGGGATGTCCCACTCCACCTCCATCCTCACTCGGGGCTCTCTTTCCCGTCCCTTCTGCCTCCTCCCTTCCTGAAGCTTTGAGCCTCTGAGATCGTCGGCCGCCAGCTTGTCTCTGCAAGGCGAAATAAAAGTGTCTTTCTTGTAGAAGAAAAATTTAAAAAAGAAAAAAAAAAAGGCTAAAGACTTTCTGCATTTTGTGCAGGCATACAGCTTGTAGGCACTTGCTTTTCTGTCCAGTTGATACCATATCCTCACTATTCTCCATCAAGATCACCATACTCTGTGCCATGCTTTCTGAGTAAAAAATTTTTTTTTAAACTACTTGTACTTTGCCTGGAGAGGCTTCATGAAAAAAATATTGTTGTCTTGTACTGATCCTATTTAATGTGTGACATTTATCTGTGTCTGGTATTCACTGCATGGTATATGGTTTCATGGTTTCAGGCTCCTATCTCTGTGTGGAGTGAGAGGACAAATGCCCACAATTTTAAAGCGCTTTGTGACTCTGGTCTGTGAAAGGCGGTATATAAATCAAGATTACTTACTTAGAGATTTAAACTCCACAAAAGTTATACGTGAATAACTCATGTCCTCACCTTTCTTGCCCCCGTTGACGATCGTGTGGTCTTGTTTGTTGTTCAGATGGTGCAGCGAGCTGCTGGGTGCGTTGGTGGCAGATGATTCACATTCACAGTCCGAGGAGCAGAGGCCTGCTGAGCGGAGATGTTGTGTGTGAAGAGTCCTCTCTGCATTTATAACTAAGTCAGTGTGTGTTATGTGGCACACAGACGCAACTTTTATTAGTCTGTCAGAGCACTGATGGAGGAGCTGCGCTCCTGACCAGGACATATTGAAGCCACAGTTTCATCAATGTGAAAAGGGGCGTTTAGACAGTTGGGGGCGTTCACATCAGACCATAGTTGCGTCTAGTTTCAAAGAAAAGTCAATAGTATTTGCATGTGCGTTGCGTGTACAGTTGCGTCATCCCGCTTTCAGACCGGATCATGCGTTGCGTCGGCTTTCAATGCAAAGTCAATGGTGACGCGCGTTCGAGAACGCACGAACGTCTCGGAATGCACGCACGAACCGCGCTGGGAAGTTGAAGGGAAAGTATAGTACAAAAAACTTTTTTTTGAGTCCATTATTGTATCGCTGATATATTTTTTTTAACTGTGAGAATATTTTTATTTTAGTAACAAAAGCCGTTTTTCAAAACATTTAAATTAGATTAAAAGTGATTAATGATTAGGATTATAGACTTTGTCTAAAAAAAGAAAAGAGTGATTATAGAATAGGATAGGTGCATAAGTATTATTATGTTGAACTCTGCCCACATTACAAGCTGTCAATGTTTTGACTAGGCTCTGACCTTGCCTCACAGCACAGGCACCCAGAGACAGAAGACTGCTCTAATAGTGTCTTCCAATTCAAAATGTTTTTAAAAGATTATTGGGTTAATTTAAAAAGTGCTGCAGTTATTTTAATTTAGTGGAATATATGCCTAGATAAATGTTCAAGTGTAAAAGGGAAATTCCATAAAGTGATTAATCCAGTTTAGTTAATCTTTTTGTTTTGATTTCATGTTTTCGAGTTCTGTTAAATGTTTTTCCAAATTCATTTTTTACAGAGATTTAGCATTCAGTTTCAGTTAAGATTTGAGTGATAATAATTCATTTTTTGATTTTTTTTTTGTCTTTTTAATTCTATGTTATCTAATGCTCACAATATCCAGACAAAACCAAAATCTATCTATCACCTTTACAAAAGAATTCCTGTCTTTGCTGTGTTACCCTGAATGCATCCCAGCAGATTCTGTTGTGTTGATGTGAATGAGTGTTTCTGATTACTGACCTCAGCTCTGGCCTCTGTCACAAAGAGGTGCCACGTGTCCTTCTCCAGAGACCAGTGCATTTCAACAAGTGGGCGCTGCTGCGATTGTGCAGTGATCTGTGTGAGGTCAGACAGGATCCACTGCTGTTCTGTCATCCAGGGCCATTAAACACAGCACTCTGATTTTATGCTTGAATTCCAAAAAAACATGGATTAACAAATGTGGGAAAGTGGATTTTACAAGGACGCTTTTATTTTTGTGGTGTGATTTGGGTGTGTTTTTATGTTAATTGCATGCATTTTAATCACGGCTCCTTGGACATTTCCCCTAATAGGCCCACATCAGGCGGGATGTGCCCGTTCTCCCCCGCAAGATGTGCCCGCTCTCCCCCGCGGGTGACCCGTGGTTGCCGTGTGGCTGGCCGTGGCCCGGTCCTGGGACAGAGAGGTATATGGCAATGACGGATGAGGATGAGTGGGCTGCGGGTTTTTATCTTTTTTTTAATAGATCCTTTGTTATATATTATTTATAAAATTTGGATCCCTTTTTACCCCATCTGCCTTTTTATTGATCACACCCCCTCAACAGACTCTTTTAAAACTTGACACAAACATAATAAAATAAAAGTTCGAAACAAATTCAAAATCCAAGTTGAACGTTTCTGACAGAGGACCAGCAGCAAATGGGGAAAGGCACAAGTGAAACTAAAAACAAGACAGGAAGTCAAACTAATACAAAAACACAGGAGAACTGAAACTTGAGATAAGCCTAAACTCCAGAGCTTTGCCACGATCCGTCTGTTTCATTCCTGACACGTTATATTACATTTTTGCACATCTACACTATTAGAATTCAATAAAATGGTGACGATTACGCTAGATCCTAGGTCACATGTTTGCAAAGATCCTATATATATTTCACAATAAGAAAAATAACGTGTATAATAATCTTAGTGCTAAATAAGGCATGACTGAAGGGAATTTAGAATAGAATTTCACTACCACTGTGACAATATGTCCAAAGATGACACAATATAAAGAATACCAAAGATGGAACTGTCAGGGATGAATCAGACAGAGACGGATCGTGGTGTGCCAAACTCTGGAAGTTTAAGTTTCTCTCAAGTTCCACTGGTTTACTTTGTTTCTTTCTCTCAGACAGAATAAAGGCAGTACACAGTTTATATAGTCATTGTCACACATCGAAAGACATACGTGTCACAAAGAGACAGTCACATCATAGTCATAACATGGAGTCCTTGTAGAGTCCTTGTACAGTCCTGCACGTAGGCCATATTGCTATCTAATACTAACACCCTCCCCTTTGATCACATAATCACATGTGATCACTCAATTTGATCAATCAATAAAGTGGAAAAAGAAAAAAAAAAATCCAAAAAAACTTTTAAAAAATATTAAAAAACAAAGAAAATGTATGCATTAAACTCATAATCATCAAAATCAATATCAGTGGATTTTATCCTCTATCCTGGGAAAAAATAAACAAACAAAAACAAATCAAAAATAAAAACAAACAAACACTATTGGACACAGTAGGACTCAGCAGATTCAGTCAAAACACAGACAAAAACGAGCTGAGTCTCAAATAAGAAGCTAATTTAACTTTTATTACTCTATACTTTTATTCTAATGATAATTGTTTACACTAGACTCAATCTTATTTCACTGTATTATTTTCACTTTTCAATCTTAGATTGTGTACTTTCTAATCTATTTACAAATATGTTTGCATATTTGCTTTTATTGAGCCATATTCTTAAACATACATTTTAATCTAATACATCTCTGTGGTTTTATACTTTCATTATCAGTGGCTTATTATTTACATTCTCAGGAATAAAACTGTGAACACAGTAAGGCAAATGGTCAACATTTACACTTCTATAGTGGTCAGTGATTTATTACTTTTTATTATCTAAAGATATTATTGTCAGGCAGTTTGGGATGAATGTACATCTTTAATCAAATTAGTATTATCCTTACAAGAGCTAATCTATTTTAGCAGGTTTGGGGTCAGTTATTCTACAATGGTGTTTGTGCTGGAAACTTCTCAATATCTAAATATCTACTATACTGTTTTTGTGCTATACACAAATACATCAAAATGCTTTTAAATGCTTTTGAATCTCTGTTGGTTCTAATCTATCTCATTGATCTAGGCATTAATCTAGGCTACACTCATATGAACTTTTTGCATTGTCAACATTCACTCATGTGTGAACACAAGTGAATTTGGCAGTATCTAAAAAAACTGTACATAAAACTGTAAGTAACTTTATCTACTTTTGAAGTAAATGCTTGTGAAATGGTCCCTTTACCATTTGATATTAGCATTGGCTACAAATAATCTCTATTTTTGAAAGCATCTATGGTTGATGCATTTATCTAATTCTATTTTTACGCTATTTTTTAACTCCAAAGCTCGATTGCAGCTTGAGCAAAGGCATATTTCTAATTTGTGACTTCTGTCACTTCTAATGGCTGTAACATTATTCTGATTCTAATATTATAGCTGATCTATCAAAAGGATAACATTGTATGGTTATGATTTTAATTCTTACGTTGAAATGTGTTTATGAACAACAAAGAAAGGACAATTCTACTTTTTTACTACTATTTAACATCTACTAAAACGCTACAATAATCATACTTTATCATTTTAAAACATTTTAACAGTTGCTCAGTCTACCAGACTAAAAAGTCAAAGTTTTTGTCTGTCAGATGTCTGAATACTTAACATGTATATTGCATTTGGTCACAGGTTCTGGTTGTAGCAATAGCATCGGCAATAGACGATTTTCATTGGCTGGTTCTTGTTCTGCAAATGTCTGTGTCCAATAGATCATCAGATGTCCAGAAGCTAGGGACAAACAAAAACAAAAGAAAGAATCATGAGTATCTCTCTCATTTAGCACTCATCAATGTATGATTTCAAAAATATAAACATCACTCCCCAGTTTTTCTCTCCAAGTTCCTCAGATCCTCAGGTCCTCAGATCCTCAGGTCCTCAGGGTCCTCAGGGTCCTCAGGTTCCCCTGAGGGTGAGTCTCAGTCGTCATCAGGTCAGGTCATATTTCGAGAGATGTCATCTTGGACATCAGTAGGGTCCAAGCCATGGTTCTGGTCTCTCCAGATGCACATCAGGATCTCCAGATACAGTCTTTTCACTTGGGTCACATCAGGTCATTTGCGATGCACTTCTGGTCAATGGTGCAGTGTCTCAGTTCCTGTACACAGCTTGTAATGCAGTAGTTACTCTCTATGGTTAGTCACTTTGATTCTACTTTAACACAATTTCTATTCATGCTGTTGCCACTGTCCCTCAGACAAAAGCAAGCGCAGTTTACTTCTCTAATTTGTGTTTTTATCAGATCTAATTCTAATCAATGTAATTACTTCACACAGTACAAAATCAACAAATCAAAAGTGTCAGGACAGACGTCAATTAGTCCATGACAATATAGAATTCAAATGAACATTTCTGGTCTCAAAAAATACTGATTCAAGTGATAGACAATTAAAAATATGTTTACATTGGAGTAAACTTTTAAAATGCTTTTTCTCATGTTCTGCTTTTTCATGTATCTATATGTAAATGTGAATGTGTGAGTGTATGAATGTATGTGTGTATGTGTGTGTGTGGGGTGTGAATTTTGGGGTTGTGTCTCCAGACTCCTCGAACCACCTGTAGGTCTCAAAGGTCACACTGTGGTGATGTAAACCAACTGGACACACTCTCAACTCTCATTCAGGTCTCTCCCTGACGCTCCACCCATCACGTCTCCAGAAACCTCTCTCTACCCCGGTCTCTCTCACACCCACTCAGCTCTGGAGTGGCGTGGGGAGGGGCAAGGAGGTGGCATTTTCCTTTGCTCTTTGATCTGTGACCTGTGGCTGGGTGGGCTTTGGTGTCCAGTGTCCAGCAGTGACCTCTCGTACAGTGTGGCAGAGTCTGAAAAACAATCCTTGACAATGGACTCAAAAATAAGCAGCAGATTTAAAAAGAAAAGCAAAGCTTTAGCACTAATCTTTGAATTTCAAAAAACATATAATATTCAAAACTTCTATTCCCTAATGGTGTTTAAAAACGTTTAACTGTGTCATAACACAATGTTCAATTGCAAATTTAGCAAATTTAAAAACTTAATAAAAGCCAAAATCCTAAAAGCAGTAGCTCTGATTCAGAGCCGGAGCAGCAAAGGAGGGGGCCGTTTCCCCTGACAACGGCAGCAAGATAGAGCTGCGCACACACACAGGCAGAAAGTAGTGTTTTAGCAAAAATGCCAAAACAGAAAGAAGAAGAACTTTCAAGATTACTTTGCGAATATAACTTGTAGTTTATACTTTTGTCATCCAAGTCTAGAAGTGATCACTTTCCACACTTGTAACAAAAGGCACTCTTGTCTTTAACGTTTACGCTTCTATTTTATCGAGGTAGCAAACTAATTTAAACTCAAAATCTCTTTCTAAAAAACAAAAACAACTGTTGGATACAACCTTCTCATAGCTTAACTGTAGATATAACTCGGCAAAAAATGTAAATAACTCACGAAAGCTCTCATAGCTCAACTTTAGATAAAACTCGGCATTCTCCGGTGAACTCTGTTCACGCCAAAAAAACAAACTAAAAAACAAAAACTCCCTTTTTCTGTATGTAATTTAAACCGTGATCACTGAAATATTGTTGCTTCTTTACTTTTGTCATTTATCAAGCCTGGAATTGGTTAATTACAAAACTTTTTGTGACAAAAGGCCTCCTTAACACGTTTCCCTTTTTTAAAAATTGCTTTTAATTTTTACACCATGGTTTCACTTATGGATCCTCACTTATGGCCAACACTTTATGGATCCTACACTTTTATGGCCTTTACACTTTATGGATCCTATACACTTTAATGGCCAACACTTTTTGGATCCTATACACTTTTATGGCCAACACTTTATGGATCCTATACACTTTTATGGCCTTTTCACTTTATGGATCCTATACACTTATGGCCTTTTCACTTTATGGATCCTATACACTTTATGGCCTTTTCACTTTATGGATCCTATACACTTTATGGCCTTTTCACTTTATGGATCCTATACACTTATGGCCTTTTCACTTTATGGATCCTATACACTTTATGGATCCTCACTTATTTGAACACAATTTAGAGAGTTCGACAGACCTCAAAAACAGACCAAAATTTAGCTAGTATCCAATTATGCAGACTTTACATATAAAAAGGTGTCTGCTTACCTTATTCTTGTCAAACAGGTGCATGCACGGACTGTCCGAGAGGTCTGCCAACTCTTTTCCGCGTCGGAATATTCAATTTAAAAAAACAAAAGTGACAGAAGCGACAAGAAGCATCCAGGAACAGCTCTTCCAGCCTGCTGGAATCTCCGCTCCCAGACACAGCATGCCGGTCTCTCACGCCGAGGAAAAGAAACAAAGCAAACTCCCTCAAAACAATCCAGAGAATGGCACACACTGAGCCGCACATCCTCCAAATCTGTCAGGATTTAGCAGACAGAGACGGATCGTGGTGCCAAACTCTGGAAGTTTATTTAAGTTTCTCTCAAGTTCCACTGGTTTACTTTGTTTCTTTCTCTCAGACAGAATAAAGGCAGTACACAGTTTATATAGTCATTGTCACGTCACACATCGAAAGACATACGTGTCACAAAGAGACAGTCAAATCATAGTCATAACATGGAGTCCTTGTAGAGTCCTTGTACAGTCCTGCACGTGATGATACACCTATTGAGAATGTCAAACAAAATGTATTTTTGGGAGTTATTATAGACGACAAAATTACATGGAAACCTCACATAAGTTACCTGCGGACAAAAGTTGCAAAATGTGTGGGAATGATGAAGAGATCCTGTCATTTAATTAATACCAATGCGCTTATGTTATTATACCATTCTTTCATAATGTCATATCTGAATTATTGTGTTGAAGTGTGGGGAAACTGCTATAAGTCTCATTTGCAGCCCTTATTCATTTTACAAAAAAAGGCCATAAGGATTGTGTCTAATGTTCACTACAGACATCCTTCTAATCCCTTGTTCATCAAAACGAATCAACTTAAACTACATGACTTGGTTAGCCTAAGAACTGCTCAGATAATGTTCAGGGCATCTGAAAGCTCTCTGCCAGCAAACATACAAAACCTTTTTCATGATAGAGACGCCCATCATAGATACAGGCTTAGAGGAAACAAACAATTTTATGTCCCTAAAGTGAGAACAACATTGAAATCAATGTGTGTCTCAGTCAGAGGAGTGAAGATCTGGAAAGAATTAACGGAAGCATTAAAATCATGCTCCAACATGACCAAGTTTAAAAAATACTTTAAAAAAGAATTACTGCAGAAATACGCAGAAGAGGGAGCATGATTCCCTGAGCAGTAGCTGAGCATTGAGCGAGTGGTGTGTGGTCGGAGAACGTCCGGGGCCAGTGTCTGAGCGAGTGAGTCTTGTCCTGTTCTGTCCTGTCTTGTCCTATCTTGTCCTGTCCTGTCTTGTCCTGTCCTGGTTGTCCTGTCTGGTTTTGTTGTGTGTTGTATCGCTACAGTATTGTATATGCTCTACTTTACCTGACCGGTGGGGGTAGTCCAAGGGGATATAGATTTGTTTTTTGTTTTGCTTGTTTTGTTTTTGTGATTTCTTGTTTTTGCATTGTGGTTGCGTTGTAGAGAGTGTGTGAGAGGTGGTTGGATATAAATAAGCTTCTGCTTCTGCCAACCCCCTTTTCAAACCATGCATGTGCTTTACAAGATGAACCGTTGTAAAAAATGTTTGTGCAGGTTTTGAAATAAACTAATTGCTAATTGCACGTAGGCCATATTGCTATCTAATACTAACAGAACATGTAGCACAACATTTCAACAAACACAAGTCCTTTTAAGCAAAGTATAAAACAAATTTCCTGTTTGGCTGCAGTCTACATTTTTGTTTCCTAAAACTTAAAATCAATTTTAGACCTAAGAAATAATAAACACCATAAGAGCCATAACTAGTGTTTCCTCTATAAAATTAGAATAATTGTATAATTGTGCGGTTCCATCAACAACCCACCCCACCCCCTGCTCTGCTGTTGCCCTACCCTGTGGGAGAGCAATGCCCCCAGACAGGGTCGTTAACACCATGGCCCACGCCTCTCAGCTCTCTCCCACCACCACCAGCCCCTGCTCTAGAGAGCAGCTTCAGTGACAAACTTATTCTTCCTCGATGTGTGAAGGAGAGGTTCCACCGGTCTTTCCATCCTGCTGCTGTCAGACTGTACAGCAAACAATAAGGACTAATGAACACTGCCAACCTGACTCCATGCATCGTTGCAATATTCTTAACTTACATCAGAATGTGCAATAACCACATGTCACTGTCACTTTACTGAGTCCTGCGTTGCAGAGCCCCATGCTGCAATGTACAGATGTAAACATACTGCTGCTAATGTACAGATGTAAACATACTGCTGCTAATGTACAGATGTAAACATACTGCTGCAAATGTACAGATGTAAACATACTGCTGCAAATGTACAGATGTAAACATACTGCTGCAAATGTACAGATGTAAACATACTGCTGCTAATGGACAGGTGCTAACATAACTACACTTTGCTTGCACTAGAATACACAGTACTTTATACTTGCCTCTTATTTTGCCAAATGTAAAACTTTTACACCTTTTATTATTATTTTATATTTGTTATTGATGCAAGAGTTAGTTTTTGTTTTATTTTAATTAGTATAGCTATTGTTCCTCTTTTCTACTGTTCTATAACTTGTGATGCAACACTGAAATTTCACCATTGTGGGACGAATAAAGGATCTCTTAATTTATTCGCTGAGTCCTCCCTCAGAGATAGGATGCCCAGCCATAGGGGAGGAGCTCGGAGTAGAGCCGCTACTTCTCCATGTCGAGAGCCTACCTGGAGAGAAGAGCCAGGACACAATGTCTCTCAGCTGGCCTGGGAACGCATCAAGGAAGTGTGTGGAGGTCTTTTTAGGTCTCTAAAGCGCAAGAAAATGGATTGATAGAAATGGCTGATTATAAAAAAAATTTACTTTGTAGTTGCATATAATTCAAGATGTTTACCCAAAACCTCAACATAGAAAAATCAGATAAAATTATTGACGATTAAATTATTTATTGACTGATCTGCAAATAACGTCCATGTGTTTCTTGTTCCCAGTTTTATCGGCCTCAACACCACTCCAATTCTGTGACTAATTTTAGGAAATATAACTTTAACTGAGGCAAGCTCTATAAGTCAACATGGATGTGCCTTACACAATCATGTTTAACCTGTGCTTTTACTTTTAACTGAGATCTATTACATTTTATTATAATTTCAGTATAACATATTGCATAATACCAACATATACAAATATAACATCAGCTCATGTTAAAAAACAGTTTGAACAAGAATAAAAACATTACAAAACAGTAATAATAGAATGTTTTGAATAAATAAACATTGAATTTGGATATCATGAATATGTTAACTATAAAAGTAGTGTGTGAATATTAAAAAAACCTAAACACTAAACAGTGTTTCAACCATAGTTCAAGTGGAGAAATCACATGTTGGTGACAGTGATGAGGATCTGATGGAAGGGCTCGGCCTGCTGTGCCTTCACTCGTCCAGCAGAGAGCAGCTCTGAAGAAAAAACACAGGAAATAATGATATAAACATATAAATACAAATATTTAGAAGGCTCTATTCAGACAATTATGATAAATGTGTTACCCAGGAGCCCGCTGAGGGTGTGAGCGGCAGTGCTGCGGTTGGCCTTTGGGGGCAGCAGTGAATCAAATGTAACATTTCCTGAACTCTGCAGATGAGACCAGATCCATCTGCAGAAACACAACATGAGCAATGCATTTGTGAAACCAATGATTCAATAAACTGGATTGTGCAGGTGCTCAGCAGAGGTCTACAGCTCATAGTAAATCCCACAAACTATCAACAGTGATCGCTTGCCTTAGAGACAAAACAATTAATATCATAATATAATTCAGTGGCTTGAAAAAGTATTCATCCCCTATGAACATTTACACATTTAGTAACAACCTCAAACATGAAGCCTGTCTGTTTATACCATGAAATGGTTCAAAACAAAACATTAATGTGATAGAATGGCTCAGTTAAAATTCTACTGTAGCAAAAACAAAAATCTAGTAGCGTACTTTAATGTGTTCGTGCTCGAGGTGTAATGATAGAAGATATATGTGAACACTGCAGCAAGTCTTTCTAAAGAAACTAAACATTGGTTTTGGGATTGACATAAAAAGTTTGAGCACTCTGCACTTTCTGAGACTGTGGTCTGTTGTTGGTTGTGACCTCATGGTGCCGCTGCTCTGCTCTTCAGGCATCTCGATGTTTTCTTCTGCGATGGGCTCCATCACCGGCTGCAGCTCCTCGTGAGGCGACCTGCAGAACAACCACAGGACATCTGAGAATGGAACTTACATTTGCCATTTCTATATCCACATCACAACATGAAGAACTGAAGCTCATTCCAATTTCTGCAATTATCAAACCCCAAGGGTTCTCACTTTTTTCCCACAAGGTTTTTCTGTTGGGCAGTGTCCAACAAAAAGGACTGTGGTACACTTTAACATTCTACAACATGTATGGACATTTATCAACATGTGTTCTATATTCTTTTTGTGTCTTAACTGTTGATTCTCTGACCTGTGTTGGTGATTTCAATGGTTTTGTTAAGTCTCTGAGACGACTTTTGTTGTGATTTAGGGCTTTACAAGAATACATTGTATTGTATTTAGGACTCTCAGCCATCACTAAACATTTCTGTTGTTGAAAACTATCTCATTATTGTTTATTAAACGTAACGTGACACAAACCTACTGTTAAGATCTCCTTTTAAGTCATAATGTTACTGTTACCAACAACATCCATGTTGTTGTTTATGTTGATGAGCTATAGCTATAAGAATTCCTGCTTTACGAAGAACACATTCCACCTAATTGATTCTGAAGTCCTGATTTAACAGTGCTTTGTGCTTTTCCTAGTTTTATTACATGATTATAAAAATAAAACAGTATTAAAGTTTAAATTGTTTTACATGATTGTATGATGTGGTGTTTGGTGTTGGTGCTATGGTCGATGGCCTCACCATCTGCCGACTGGAGTGATGACATCCCCCACAGATCCGTCCTCTTTAGTAGCTGAAAAACAGAAAGACTCATTAGCAGTGACGTACACAGAAACATATCAGTGACTTTGACAGAACAACAGCTTGTAGCTTAGTCTTTGCATAACATAACACCGGTTGTAGATGAGAGCAGCTGGACGTCACTACAGAGAATATTAGAGATTTAATATTACACTGTGTAATTTTTAGTGCCATCTAGCGTTGAGATCTTATATTGCAGTTCAATATTGTACGGAAGCCTATACAGTCTTTGACAGAGCTCCTCAACTCTCAGTCATTCACCAGACTGCCAAGGAAAGAATACTTTAGTTTGATAAATGACCGGATCTCTCCAAACGTCTCGGGCACTTGACACAGTCGTGTGGAGGAGTGGATGTAAACAAAACCACGTTCAGACAGCAGCACCCTGCACAGAAGCTCTGAGTTTTACAATGGATCTAGTATAATATATAGTTTTACAAACGTGGTGTGAAGAGAAGAGACACATGGAGGAATAACGTCTGCGGGAGCTTAAAACTACGATCATCAAAGAAGCAGGACATTTACACAGCCGGGGCAGGACATGGCTATAAGCTCATGTTACCATCAGCGTTAGCCACAGCGCCCTATCTGCATCACGGTAAGAAAAACAGAACATTCACTCACGCAGCTGATAAAGTTTTCTGGCGATTGTTTTGTGGGGATTCTGTGTGTGTTTTATTTGAGGCTTTTTCCTGAATAAGTTTAGTTGAAACTTGTGACAGTAGTTGTAGTAGTAGCCTGAGACTGTTGCAGATTCTGCCTCGTTCTCATTATTGTCAGTGTGAAAAAGTTACGTATTGTTCACGTGTGAGTCTGTTGTGTACAAACTACACGATGAGCCTCCTGTTGTGTTAACGCTGTCTTTCGGTGCGTGTGGTTTGTGATGTTGACACTTTGCTGCTATGACGCTGGACTTCTGCATAATTATTTTTCAAAAAAATTGTTGTTCGGATTGTTCTTTTACATAACTGTGGTCCTCCATGGTTCCTTCTTCCAAATTGTGAAGGCACGGTGAAAGCAACAATATCAGTAGCTCATGTGAAACGAAAACGCGATTCTCGCATGCTTTTTGTCCCTTATCCACCACTGTTTTCCAAGATGGCGCTTTTACATGGAGAACACTCCTCTCTCATGGACACTTATAAGTTAAATTCTAGGCCTATGAATACAATTTAAAAAACATGGTGGAGCTAAATATTCTTAAAAAGGTCATATTTGTTATTAGTTAAGATGTTTTTTCACATGGAGCAGCTGTAAAAATTACACAGGGTGGCTTTAAATGTTGATCATAATAACATTCACAATATATTCTAACTACATCTACAATATATTGTATTAGTTTGTGTTTCTATGAATGTGAAGAGAATGCAGAAAGTCTTACATGATGCGTCCACAGGCTGAAGTCCCGAGTCACTGGACATCTGAGAAATGGTTACAGTATTATTTTCAAATATTCTTATGTTGCCGTGTTGTCATTGTCCGGCCACATTTAAGATAAGAGGGAATGAGAGTATCTGACCTCCCTCAGGGTTGAGGTCCTCCTCCTCTTTGTCTCTGGCATCAGTGTTTCCACCTCGTTCTCGTCTTCCTCTGGTCGAGTGAAGGAGGTGAGCACCGCGCCGCTCTTCCAAACAGACCTGATGTCAGAGTGGACGAGGTCTGGACCAAACACAGGGGAATAAAAATACATAAAGAAACTAACTATGAACAAATGTAAGTCTTTTGAATAACAAATGAAAGGTACAAGGCCAGAAAAGCATTTAGATTTGCCGTAACCTGCACATGCATGTATCAGTGGCCTGTTGGATGTTTAGATCAGCTTTGTCACAGAAATAAGAAAACAAGCATCTCTCCCTCACTCAGCCCACAGCATCAAATAGTGACTCACAGGGCTCTTTGACAAGTATCACACAGATATTCTAATACGTTGGTGGCTGATTTTAATCTTACCACTCTTTCTGTTGTGTTAATACCACTCACTTCCACAGGGGGCGCTGAAGAGTTGTCCAGGAGCTGAAAACTTGACAGACTCCAAGTTCACCAAGACGTCAGACTGAACAAGAGAAAAAAGTCTCAGAAGAAATTAACTAAAATCAGTGAGAGGTACTTTTTTAAATGTCTTTTTAAATATCTTAACAATGGCTATGATCTCATTACACATCTGTGAAGAAATTCAACAGGTCATTGAACTGACTTTGAGCAACGTAACAACTGTATTTAATCGTTGTGTCAGTGGTTTATAATCTTTCTTGCTAAACATGCTAATTCATGTTAATGTTAGTCATGAGCCATTTATTTTCTAATTGAGAGATTATGAAAAATATAAAGCAGAAATAGCAAAATAATTTCTGAAATAATTTGGCAAACCCCAGCAACTGTCCCGTGACCCCCACTTTGGGAAGCATTGGTATAGAGGAGATTAAATATTAGATTTTATTGTCAAATTTTTTCATGGTTTCCTTGAATAAACCCAGGCTCATAATCAAAGCTCAAACACTGACTTTGTGCTTGTTTGATGTTTTTCTTAATCACGACTCATCATTTTGATTTAATCTGTGTTTTATGATTTACCAGGTTCAGTGTTTCAGTCTGAGGATTCTCAATCTGAATCTTCATTTCTTGGTCCGAAATCTGGACTTCGGGATCGGCAAAGATGAGCTGTCGTTTGCGAAGTTTTCGAGAAGGACGGACGATCGCCTGACGACAGACGGAAACAGTAAACGTGTGACATAAAGGAAACCTCGGCGATGGAAATGCTGCGGCCATAACACGACCCAGACACGCCTCAATGAGTTCATGCTGTTTTCAAAAGGACTGGAGCAGCTCATGAGTCACTTTGAGGTGAGTGCAGCCGACATGAAACTGGGACCCAAAGAGAATCACAGAAGTTCATTCATAATAAGAGCTACACAAAGTTACAGTGAACAAGAACACATTTTAAGAGTTCCTTGGTTCCTTGGCGATAGATCCTTTTGCTTTAAGACCTGCCTGAATTGAACACTTTATGACTATTGTTAGTAACTTTTAGAATGATGTATTTAATTATGTTTGAATGAATTTATGTGTTTTCTGCTGCTAGACACATATCTATCTTTAAGTAAGACATATTTTTACTTCACATTCTACCAACTGTATAGAAACAACTGTGGCCTTTGAAATATAAACAGCAAACCGTACTTTTCAGTCTGTACGATTAAATTTGGACCTACATAATCCCGATTATCCATCTTTACATCCCTACAAATATCAATCAATCTTCCAATTGTATTTACAAAGCAGAGTTGATGCAAAAGGAAACTCAAAGTACTTCACAATGACAATACAGTATTTAAAAGCCACAATTTGCGATCTAGTATTTTGACCATGAAATAATATCTGATTTTGATCATTCTAGTTCATACTTTTCAGTCCTTCCCACATGAGCACTTCACTGTTATTGTTGTGCTTGTCGGGTTATTGTTTGTGCTGCTGCCTAACTGTCTGGTTGTGTGTTTCTGCGTGTCTTAGGACAATGGATGCAATTAAGCTCTTGTGCCAATTCAAATGAAAAAAAAAAAACATGGTGTCTACCCGTGTCCCTCACCTCTTCCTCTGCTGTGTCCGGGGAGGGGGGCAGATCCACACGTGGGGGGGTCCGCTCTTGGGGCAGAGGAGCCTTCGAGAGCTCCATCATCATCTGCCCAGACTCGTCCTGAAGCCACACACTGTCCCTGTGAGCCCCCAGCACCGACTCACGCAGCCTGGATCCGCAAACAAGCACACACACGGGTCACCTTTTTCGTTCATAAATTAGTTACACACAAAAAAAAAATATCACAAAACAAAAATGTAACTCAATGTTTTCCATGACTCCTCCAAACAGCGCCGACTTCCAGCCTCGAGCTTCCTCTCATTATGAAACTGCAGAGTGGAACGCTTTAGGAAGTATTTAGCTCCAGCAGTAATTATGCAGCAAAACGCAGAGGAAAATGAGCCCTACGATCAATTTTGTGTTTAATGCCCAAAAGTGAATGAGCTTATTCTTCTCCTCATTTCCATTTCATTTATGATTTTTGGCACAAACACTATTGCGCAAAAAAAATCTATTTTTTTATTTTATTATTATTGCGATTTCTTTTAGTATTTGTACCTTTTGTAAAATTTTGTGTCCATTTTTTTACTTCTCAAAAATGGGACTCAGCCTCAAGTGATTCATATCCATCTCTTTTGATTCCCTGCTTTTTGTGTCTTCGTATATTTGTTTTTGATTGGACTCGCAAACATTTGTAGATATACGAGAAGTACAGAATATACAAAAAGAAGAAGACCACGCCAAATCTGTATTTCACTAATCAATACTCACGACACAAGGTCTTGGCTCCTGTTTGCTCCCATCTGCTCATCTAAGTCTGATTTAACACAAAAACATCAAAAACATTTAAGGTTTTCATTCAAATTAAAATATCACGATAAATAGCACCAATATTTTAAATGCAGGTCCAACAGAACTGAAAAAGATTTAACCAATTTAACTACAATCTGCAACACAATCCGTCCACATACATTAAGTGTCGGAATGTTGTGTAGTGACGGAGCAGTCATACAGAAGGAAAGCTGTTCTTTGTAAAAACCAGTTCAGCAGCATGTCGACTGATAAAATTTGTTGACGTCTTGAGTTCACACAAGTATCAGGAAATAAAGATGAATTGGATAAATAATTGAAGAGCAGAAACACGGGGATGGATGTCATGCACCTTGTCTGAACTGGTCTTGTTCCTCCATCAATAAATCCAGCTCCTGGTTTGTGGCCTCAGGAAGATCTGCGCCTTCAAACCTCTGAGACAGAAACACACATGTTTTTATTTTAAATGTTTGTCCAGATGCGGTTAAGGTTCTGGTGCGTTTGTTTCTGCTCAAGTAAAAACAATTCATTAAAGGTTTCAATGATTAATAAAATCCTTCTTCCTTTGGTACATTGTTTTGTCTCATTATTTTGGACTTTTGGATTCTTTTTAACGATGGGCCTGTGTAAAATACAATCAATCCTTTCAATCACGATTTCCTAATCAATCATTACAGCACTATATATTGTTTTAACTTGTAGAATTCAACATTCTATTCATAACTTTGACTATAAATAATACTGTAGTTGCAGGAAGTTGACCAACCAGCCGGTCCTGTTCACCCAGAACAGTGACTATGCTTTGGTTTTATTTCTTTGGACACTCAAAGATGCATCATATAGAATTTTTCCTTCACGTCATACACAACGGTGATAAAGTACAACTGTAGCCAGAGCTGCCCTGGGGCACACTGACAGAAGTGAGGAAACCAGTGTGTTCTATTGGCCTCCATTGTGAGATAAAAAAGTACATCTCATCATCTCATCGATCACACACACACAAAACTCATACAAGGCCATGTGGGTGAAATGTCGAAAATCTAGTCCCCCGCTTTACTCAAAGATTATAAAAGTCAAAGAAAAAGAACCAGCCAGATTCCAACCCTCCTTGTCTTTTCTGAATCTCGTGAGTGAGAACAAGTTGATGTGATGGAATTGGATGTTATCAGCGCTGGAGGAGGGACTTGGTCAGACGCTAAGTGACAGAATGAGTGTGTCGTATGCTAAGCTAACCCGCTGTATTGACGCACGCACGACCAAAACAATCTACCTCTGTGACGCTTAATGATTCAGGACGCAAAGGTGAAGCCAGGACGGAGACGAGACATCACAAAACCCACTGTTGAATTTCAATCATTTTAGAACCATTTTGAAGGGTTTGAGCATCAACTTAATAGGAACAGAGACAAACTTATGAAGCAGGTCTTTACTTTACTAGATCCTGCCAATTATAGCTGTTATTGCAGTTATTTCAGTTTTCACATCACACATGGCCCCTGCGACATCTTTAGATCATCTTTTTCAGACAGAAAAGTGAGAGTGAGAGGACCACTCTTAATCAGCCAATCAGCTCTTAGCCCAAATGCAAAAGGTTAAAGTCAAGCATGTTGTGGTCGGATTTCTGATGAGACAAACAACCTGCTTTATTCATGAAATATAATTAAATGAACTGAAAAAGGAGGAGCTCCAACTTAATACCTAATTGTTCATAGTTTTAGATCAATATCAATAATTCAAATGTACTAAATAAAAATACATGTCATTGATAGTGTCATAGATGTTCACGGTGAAGCAGACAGAAGCACCGTATGTAAAGCACAGGATGGGAGAACTTGGACACAAACAAAGCCTAGAGTCTGTGTAACTGCGTCCACAGAGATGATCTGCTGTGGAAGAGAAAGGAGCACGTGTTCTATGAGCCGCTCTGACCTCAGCACTGCCCACGACCACTGGCTCCTTCTCCCTGAGCGTGATGGAGGCGGGCGGCGACCTGAATCCTGGAACACAGCAGCATCAATATGTTCACGAATCATCTGCATCGTATAAGAGAGATATCATTCAACACAGACTCAGAAGAAGCAAATACATTTTTCTTTTGTTATTTGAAGGGAGTATCCAGCAATGATGTAAATACTTGTGGTTTCCATCTGTTGTCGGACTGTCACTCTCACAAACATACACTGATTCACTGTTAACTGTTGTTCTTGTCTGTAGTGGTCGGGGAATCCGGAACACTCGGAGCAAACCGATGCAGACACTGAGAGAACATGCAAATTAGAAGCAAAACATTGTTGCACCTTCTGTGTCAGATGCACCATTGGAACTCAGCATCGCAGAGAGATCAGGGCTGAAGTCCTCAATCATCAAACTTGTCTAAAATAACAAACAATAGTAAAATAAATAAAATAATAAGATGAAATAATTTCACATAATTCAAAATCCTGAAATCAAATAAGAATGACAACAAAACAGACTCATTTGTTTGTGTTTCCTATTCTATGAACTGGTAGTGCGATATATAGTTTCCTTTCACAACATTTCAAATGTAAGTCCATGATGTATCAGAAAGCAAAAACTATAGATAACTGGGATGACAATCTTCAGCTAATCTTCTAAACCTTCTTTTAGCAGCAGACTCTGGACTCCTCACCATACTCATTCTTCTGGATCTCACAGCTGCTTTTGACACAATTTCACATCCAATCCTCCTCAACCGGCTCACCTCCATTGGCTTATGCAATACAGTACACTCATGGTTCACCTCACACCTATCTGACCGTTCTCAATTTGTCCAACTCCAAAATCATAAATCGAAACTCTCCACTGTCACGAGCGATGGGCCCCAGGGCTCTGTCCTGGGGCCATTGCTTTTTATCATCTACCTCCTCCCTCTTGGCAATATATTCAGAAAGTACAAAATCAACTTCCACTGCTACGCGGATGACACCCAGCTCTACCTTTCCTCCAAGCCCACTATCACTCTCCCCCCTTCAGCCCTCTCTGATTGTCTTAATGACATTAAAATCTGGTTTTCCCACAATTTCCTCAAACTCAACTGTAATAAAACAGAATTCCTCCTTGTGGGCTCCAAACATACACTCACTAAATCCAATATTTTTTCCATCACTGTTGATAACTGCACCATCCCCCCTTCCCCTCAGGTTAAGAGTCTGGGTGTCATCCTTGACAGCACCCTTTCCTTCACAGCACACATAAACAACATCACCCGGTCCGCCTACTTCCATCTCCGCAACATCAACGTCCGTCTCTCACCCCTAACAGCACAGCTGCACTGGTTTATGCCCTGGTCACATCCCGCCTTGATTATTGCAATTCACTCCTTTATGGTCTACCAAACTAATCCCTCCATAAACTTCAAATGGTTCAGAACACAGCAGCACGCATCATCACCAAAACTCCTTCTGCCCAGCACATCACTCCTATTCTCGAACAGCTAAAATGTCCACCATGTGCCTAAGGGGCTTCAGCCGCTCTGCCCCCAAACTCTGGAATCATCTCTCACGAGACATTCGTGCAATAGTCTCCATCACCACATTTAATTCTCGTCTCAAAACTGAGCTATTCAGACGCGCCTATCCCACATAATCCTCCATACTGTATTTCTCATATCTTTCTATGGAACTTCTGCCACTCCACGCTATATTTTAATTCTGGGCCTTGTGTTGTATTGTATTTTTAATGTATGTTCTATACTGATTTTATGCTGCCTGTAAGGTGACCTTGGGAATTCTGAAAGGCGCCCACAAATAAAATGTATTATTATTTATTATTATTTCAATGCTGCTGTAAATTTACTGCTCTGTAACAATGTGTAAAATCATACAAGTGATCAACTTTTATTCATTCAACATTTATTCCTTCATCTCACTCTGGCCTGAGGCACTCTGACCTGGTTGACTTTGTATGGACTGGGAAGTTGGTGAGACTCCATGAGGCCAAAGAAAGGGTCCTGCGCTCCCTCTGCCTGCTGCATCATCTGCAGGTTATCAGCAAGATCCAGCGCTAATCTGAAACCAATCCCTTTTGTTAGACATGAAGCTACATGTGAAACTACTATGACAGTAACTAAAAAGATGCTTTATTCAACACACAGTGGGAAAACTTTGACACGTACAGGACAGTAGTAAGAGCACACAAAACACGGCAAAAACGTTTAGATGAGGTAATAAATGCGTTTTTTTAATCTTAGTTTGAGTTCATTTGAAATCGTCAGAATGCATTCAAGTTAAAATACATGTTTGACTTATTTTTCATCACTTTCTGCAGCGTACACAAGTATTTGTAATGGTTCTTAACTAGCTGTAAATGCTTCATAAAAGCAGAAAGTAAATAAAAATATATCTTTCTATATGTATATTCATAAAGTGTAAATTGAAAATATGTTTATGAATGCAAAAACATGGTACAGTGCCTTGAACCGGATTGCATTACGGACGCTTCCCAACAGAGACTGGTTAAGTATTTATAAAGTCATTCACGTAGAAGTCGCTGCGTCCGTCACTCACGCAGTAAACCACACCTTCTTCTTTTCAGGGCCTCAAACAGACGCTCTAATAAATACTGCACTCATCTCCCTAATCACCCACAACATTTTTAATAATGTATCTGATCTAACACAAATTAAAACACCAAAAGTCAATTGATCAAGGGAAATACATTTGTAGCAACTAAATATAAGACAACTTTAGCATTGTTGCTTGTTGGAATGACAACTTTGACGTCATAATAAAAAGTTGTTAAAATGTTTATTGTATATTTAGTATATTTTCCTTACATTAGTGGGAAGAATGTTTGTTATTTTGATGAAAGTTGAGCATCTATATTTTTATTATATCATTTGTTTTATAAAGACAATTCAAAGAGGTAAAAAACTGTCAAATACTAAAAAGCTAATTCCTTTACAAATCCTCAAGAATCACTTATTATTCGATACAATTCAGTTTATTTTTGTATGTATGGTAACTAATTTACTTTACAAAATGGAGGATTTTACAGAATTGTCAATGTACTGTTATGTTATGTAAATTTTTATAGGACCTGCTAGTTTACAGACACTATAATGTACAATATGTGATACAGAGACTGTGTATTGATGGGCAATGCTAACCCTTCAGCTCAATGAAGCTCAATGAGGAAGTTTAGCTTACATTGAAAAATAAACTCCTCTAGCTCAGTAACCGTTTGTGTCACACACACTTTAGAAAAAAAAATTGTGGTTTAGTGCTCTCTATGATTCTGGCATTTATATTTTTAAGATTGTATCCATAAATCCAGATATGAGCTACAAGGATTGACCCTCATTTATGTGGGAAACTCTCGCTCGTCTTGGACAAATAGCCATATAAGGAATTTGGCTCCAGCTATCTTAAGTTCAAACTTCTTCTAATATAGTCTATGATGCGATACCAGGATTAGATTAGTTGACCACTGAAACAGGACAATGCAAATCTTAAATTCTTCCCATAAAATCAACAAATAGATAATGTTTAGAAATGAAGAAAGCAGATTTATTCTTGCAGTGAACAGAGAGCATCTTCACCTGTCTGACTCGATGAAGTCAATCGGAACGCATCTTTTTGAGCGGAGGAAGCGGTCTATGGTGATCTGGATTTCATCTGCAAAACAGGTCAACATTTCTATTATTGTCCAAATACGATAAATACAATCCAGGCTTGTGCAAAATTCAGGGTATGTGAAGAATTTCTGTTAAATCAAGGAATGAGTCGTTACATTATTTGACACGACAAAGCAGTAGGGACAACTGTAACAGATGCATGAAGGAAATAAAATCCATTGCGAGAAAAGGCGGCCGATCCTTTCTTGGCTTGTGCCCATCGGGATTATACTGCATTGAGCCATGACAACGGTACGATTGTGAATCTGTCAAAGGCCAATATCAATGTCAAGGTGTAATTCAAGACCAAATGAGAGGAGGCGCAGGAGCTGTGCTTAGAGATAATGGCTTCATCAGACCCGCATTGGATTTTGAATGAAACTTATCAAAGAAATTAACGAAACATCTTGTGGTAATGAGGTTTTTTTTGTCAGTCACTGAAAGCAATATGTGCAGTGGTAATGTCGGACAAAGGAATGGCTGCTTTTGTTTGAACTCACGCCTTCTCACATCCACATCTTTTATACTTGTCTAAAACATTGATTGTCCAAATCAGTTTTATGTCGACTGAGGACTGTTCTTGCTTTTTCAGTGAAAGACAGGGGACTGTTTATCACCAGAGGAGGAAGTAATATAGCACTTATGTTTTGGAGAGGTGAGACGCATCTAATTATCTTTTCTATCATTAAAATATGCTGCAAAAAAGTGGATTCAAAATAATGATTATTGCAAGGTTATACACTTTTGAGGATCATTTTGCAGCCCATGCATGTTTTTTTACAACATTTCTACTTCAGGATAAAAAAAAGATCAGAGTATTAGGTTCTGTATCACCCACATCTATGACTCAAAATATGTAGGATGACACAAGTTTGACTTGCCTCTGATACAAGACACAAGGGATCTTATTTGAGGATCCGATATTATCTATGCGTGAAAATATATTTAACTTCTCCCTATGACTTCCTCCGTCATGTATCAGCTCACAGATGGCGCCCAGTGCTTTGTTTACAGCCATTGTCAGCTGAAGGTCAGTGAGTGTGATGTTAATGCGTGGTCATTGCTCTTACCCAGCAGAAAGCCGCACTGCCGGTGATAAACCACCACCACACCGTACTGCAGCTGGGAGGACAGGTACAGGGAGAAGCGAGGCTTCGGGAGGTTCTGCTGCGGAGGAGGCACCTGCGCCATGATGTAGTTTAAGATGTCCACGCTGCACACAACACATGTTTAGACTCATATGGAAAATCACTGTTAGTGTTGTGCTGAGACTGAGTTTTAAACTCGATTCCAATCCCAAACCATAATCTTGATACTGTACAGTATGTTTAAATATGTCTAATCCTGTTTAGGAAATTCCCAGTTGTGTCTTCTACCATATTGCCCCCACTATCTGGCTTTGATTTCTGGTTTTGTTTTGAAAATAAAAAGAAAGAAGAAAAAGCATAACATGATAAACAACCATTTATCATGTTGATAAATGTCCATGTAATTTATCAACATTGGCTCAATGTGTTTTTTGTCATTGCATTTCTTGCGTTTGAACGGTTTCATTCTCTGATCTGTGTTTGTGAATTCAATGGTTTTGTAAAGTCCTCAGACTCTACTGTTGTCATTTAGGGCTATGCAAGAATACATTGAATTGAATTGAACTGAAAGTGTGTTGAAGAGAAACAACAAACCTACTTCCCTGTGGCAAGATTTATATTCATCATTTGATGTGTTTTTAAATCGTGCGTCCCTTTAGTAATCAGTATAAAATGTTTGCCTAAAAACATAATGGGGAAATGATTATCATCCATTCCTAAACACCTTTCTTTTTAATAAAGAGTCCAGCAATTAAATCCTGGTTGAGCAGCAGCATTATGACCCATGTACTAGCTCAGTGATGCTTGATAAAACTTGCCGGTACATGGAGTTTTAATTAAGGAAATTCTGCTCCTAAAACATGGCTTCAATATTTTGGAGACCACATGAATTACAAAGCCAGATGGTGGGGGAAATATGGTAGATGGAACCGCTGGACTTGGAAGTGCAAGCCTCCAGTTCACACACTTTCAAAAACCAAGTATATTTGAAACCCACATTATATAGAGAAAAACATCTAAATATTGCAATATTTTTTTGTATTAATATTGCCCACCTCTGAAATCAGACAACCATTTTTTTTTACTAAACAATAATGAAAAAGATTTACGCATAGATCTACTTACCATGTTTTCTTTACATTTACTCTGAGAAGCTCTCTGCGTGTCACTTTTACGCCTTTGGTCGCCGCTAACCTGAACAGAAATCACACATTCTGGTCAATATTTGGTGAAAAAACGTGATTATGGATTTACCCGAAATTAATCTAGATCACTGAAAAATCATTTGCCATAATCAGTGTCTTCATTACAATCGTATTCAATCAAATCTGTCATGATCTGAACTCACCAAATTGTGGAGAAACAACCAGAATGACGCTGAAGGACATTGGGATAATAAAACATCCTGAATTTGTGAAAATATTTCTCAAAATTTGTACAGAGACAGAACGGTGGTGGAATTTCCCGCTTTAGAACCAAATGAGACCAATGAAATAGCTTTATCGTAACATTTAAAAATATACCGCGATGCGTTTGAGAATTATAGGAAATACAATTAGCTAAAAACAAGTGAATTTCGACGAACTCCTTTGAAACATTTAGAGAAATATGACCTTTATAGGTGGCTAACTGACGCACTGGTCCAGCCATTGTGCTTCGGGTGACGGGTTTAATTGGACAAATTACCACCGCAGTCCTCACCTTTCTAAACGCGACAAGCAAACAATGAAACCTGAGGAGCTGAAGAATCCAACTGTCATTGAACAGGGCCAAACACAGTCCGCTGCAAACTGTCATGGATCTTTACATCCATAGACTGTAATCCCAATAATATTTACTGCCTGGTCACAAGTAATCATGTGATCCTGTCTAAAAGCGTGATTTTGGACCTTCCTAGACGTCAGACACCAGAGTAGCTGGACCATGACTGCGAGGCGGACGTACCACAGCCGCAGGGCCTAAAGTGCCACAGGTGACCATGTGTGCATGTTTGTAATTCCCTCCATTTTAATCGATTATAATACTTATATCATTACATTACGTTACGTGTATGAGTTCCGCCAGCCGCTGCTTTCTCAGTGACTCACAAAACATGTTTTCTAATGAGTTCACTTAGCTACATGTACTTTTACAAGACTGTTTCTGTTGAAAAACCAAATGTCATTTCATGGTAATATGCATCGATTTGGTCTTTTATTCTGTCCTACTACATTTTTTAATGTAGTCCATAATATTTGTCAACGTTTTGATAATAATTAATTTCTTGTCCACGTCAAATTAGCTTTTTCATCCATCTGGTCCCACTCACAAAACGAAAACCACTATTAAAACGTTATGTCTATATGTATATGTTCTTGTTTTTGTCAGCTTCTGATTTTTTTTAACTCGATGCTATTTATTCATTTATTTTTACAAAGAAATGAATATGTGACGTCACCATCTTGAGGAAGTGGTGAATGGTAGTTTGGCCACGCCCCTCTGAAGGGAGAGGCGGTGGAGTCATGAGAGAGAGGAGCGAAAGACGAGCTGCAAATCACTCTACAACGGGACCAGGCGAAGGCGAGGAGGGACTGACTTCAGATTGTGCTTTGGTCTCGATTATTATTATCCCTTTACGACATGGCCTATCACAGCCCGTACAGAGCTCCGCCGCATATCAACCAACCCCCCGATCAGAGCTTTCTATGGAATATCTTTCAGAGGTGAGTGCTTTCGCTTTTACTCCTGTCAAAAACGCTGTCATGATCCCAGACAGGAATAGATCTGGAATATGCGCACTAAACATACGCAAGGTTACTACTACGTTACGCACACGTCTCTTACTTATGAGTGGAATGAGTGATTGTCAAGTCTAAGGTTGTTTTGTCAGTGCCTTGCTGCTTCCTGGATATTTGCCCACATATGTCACTGCATTTCAGCCTATAACAATACTGCATGATGTAATTTTCCTGTTACTACATGCAATTAGCCCTAGTGCATGCTGCAGTGCCTATCCACGTTTGCATGCACCCATTTACCTGCCCAGGTCACTCACTGTTCATGTATTGTGTCTGCTCGAAAATCCACTCCAGAAGCCTTCAAAAGCTTTTCAAATATCTAAATATATACCCATATTAAATTTATGAATGTAAGAGGAAATGGAAGAGAGGGTCAGTCAAAAAGTGCTGTGTAGAAACTGGATAGACAAATGGTACGTATGATGAATTATGCATTAGAAATTCTGTAATGACATGCAAGGTAAGGGTTATTTTGTATGTTTAAAAAAAAAAAAAGAATTACTGTGTCAAATTCAAGTCCACAAAAACAAAGTTATATGGCACAGATACACTTTTCATACTCATAACAGATTTCTTAATTGTGTTCATTCTCATTATTCTGTTCAAAAAGATGAATCAAACGCCTTGTAGCAAAACTGGGAAAGACAAATGGCTACACAGAGGGAAAAAAATAGGCCAAAGATCTGCTTAACTTTCAAAAATGAGCTGATACTACCAAAATGTATTATCTTCAGAAACTCTCCAATCTCATCAGTACATCTGTCATTCATAGACATCATATCAACCATGGCACTGAATGAATGGTGTCTGCAGTCATCACTTGTCATAGTCTCCAATCCAATGTATGAAAGCGTCAGTCATAGTACTATAGGCAGTAGGGGAAATGGTTGATATGTTTTGGTCTGTACTATAGTGATTGTAAGTGAGCACTATACATTATGTAATACTGCAGAGGATTTTTCCCACTCCTTTCTCACAACATTAAAATGCTGCGGGCATCATTGCACGCTTTACATCCCAACAAATTATTTATGTGAAGGAGTGGGAGTAACCTCTATGATACGCCCAGCTGTATATTTATAGCTCTCAATTTTTCTGTCCATTGCTCAAAAATAGAAGCGGCCACGCAGCAGAGCAGTTTGACTTTGAGTAGCTGGTTGTCTGCTGCCTCTTGGACTCAATTTGACAGAGCGGTGCTGGAATTCCCTTTGGTCATGTGATCTCCAAGTCAATAGACTCGAGCATAGAGCCGCTGTGAGGTCTCATAACCATACACCTACTAACACATGACTCACCATCACATGCAAAACCGATTACGAATAGTTTAATCCAATTGTCTTGTCGTCTCTCGTCCTTCTAATTATATGTCATTGTTTGATTCCCACAGATTTCATTTCAGATATTTGTTGAATACAGACATCTCTTAATGTTTCCCAACCAAGGGGCCCACATAGGCAGCATATACCGACTACTTAGAATGATTCCAGAGTTCATTGCATTGATTAAAGCCACACAAATATCACATTTCTGAAATAGTGATATTTGTAGCTCTCTTAAAGCTTTTCTCTTTTAGCAGTCGGTTTCTTCACAGTTCTACAAAGTATGACATGGGTAAAAGATAAGACTTGTGTGTCTACTAGATTAGATTGTAGCTATGCAAAACACAATGACTGAAGCTAAATTCTTACAACACCCACACCTATTTAGGTTAGTCAGTATTTAAGTTCAATGTGATTTAGATTTACAGTGTTTTAAACAGGTCAAAATTGTGAGAGTTGTTTGAAATAGGGATCAACCTAAACACTCCAAGAATCATAATAATAGCTTATAATGTTTTTAATTGTACTGAGTTAGAAGTTTCCTCTCGTAGCTAAGCCGTCATGACATCACAAAGGCGTGTTTATGTGGAAAGTCTGGGCGGACTTTGTGCTCCACTTCATATTCCAACCTCACTGCTCTTTGGAAACAGTGAAACATGGGACATTTGAATGGCCACATCTGCTTTGTATTTTAAGGCTCTTCCCCACACTATACTATACTTCTGTGCTCCAAGAGTGAATGTCCACATGGCTGAGAGTTTGCCGCGGGTCTATTCTGACACAGCCTAATTAAGTTTTTAACACCTCACCTAATGGTATGTTTACCGAGATAAATCCTTCATTGAAAAGTACAAGGTTAAACAAGTAAAACAGATTGTGTGTACATTAATGGGTTAATGTTTGGTGAAGGCTGGGTTACTTTGCTCATGGTACAACTTCCCACCTTTTTTCTATAAAGCTCTCCTTATGCCTGTAATGTTTTCTCAAGCCGGGAAGAGCAAGCGTCCAGTTAACCTCTGCGTCTTGTATTTGTTTACTCAGGGGAAATTCAAGCGAGCCACCTTGACAGACACACTTAAGTTCACATTGAAAAGCCAGAATGTCCACCCAGGTTTTGACCAGCGCTTTTCGAATGGGGGAATCCCTATGGCCCCTCCCGAATGTTTTCTCTGTATAGGAATGCGCACCATGTTTGTGCATGGACTGGTCGGCCCAGAGCAGTTGCTAAGGAACAACTTAGTCACAGGAGGTTTCCGATCACGAGATATTCACAAAACCCTGTTATTTTTGTCACTGACCGCTCCTGTGGTGCAGGGCAAAGGACACAAAAATGTTGACCTATTTGGCAACCGCACAGAAACTTAAAGCTATTGTTGCGAATCATAAATCCTGCTTTAAGAATACAGTTTACTCATAGGAAACATAGGTGCGTTATTGACTTTGGAGTGGAACAAATAATATAATGAAGAATACGTAGCCTAACCCATGTCCATAACTTCTCAGTACAGTTTGTTCTAAAGACACAGATCTAGCACATTTTAAAGTGAAGTATAATTTGCAAATAAATATTATCAGCTATCCCATCCAGTTCATTAGCTTTATTTTAAAAAAAAGTAATCACTGTGTAGGCCAACTTTCATCCATTTGCAGGGGCAAGTGAAGCTATGGAATTTCTTTCCTAATTAGTTCTGTTTACACTGCACATCTATTATGGGTCTATTATTGTTCCCAGCCGGAGCTCTCTTGTGTATATGTGAAGTAATGTATGAGGCACCATTGCATATTGATTTTTCTTTAGTATATTTTTTAATTCCACAACTATAAACAGGATGCCACCAGCGCAGACCAATTCATTTGAATTACTGTAATATCATATGGAATAATACCTACCCCACGTACATGTCTAAACTAAATTAAATTACAAAAGAAAGCCATAAGAGCACTTTCTTGGTCCTTGGGTCATGCTCCCACAGATGTTCTCTTCCATAGATATGGTCTATTGAAGTTGCCTGAAGTTAATCTTTACCATAATGCGTGCACAATGTATAGTGTGGTTAATAAGTTAAATGTTCGATTGTGTGAACTCATTCCATTATATTTACCATCACACCAACATAATACTAGGAACAAACTGCTGCCTAAAGGGAAATACAGAAAATTGAAATGCACAAGTTTTAGTATTTGCCACAAAGGCCCAAATACATGGAATGAGTTGGATAGTAACCTAAAGCAATGTGCCACATTATCCAAATTTAAGAGGGAACTGAAGGCTCATCTACTGGGGAAGTATGTGACTGGATGAAAGCGTTGAAGCCCTAAGAGTCTTGAACCACTCTCTATTTTGTATCTGTCTGAGGCGAGAGGTAGATCTCTCTTTCACAGCCATGATCTCAGGGCTGGCAGAAGTTACCCTAGAGTAAACTCCAGCTGCAAACACTTACAACTACATATTAGGAATACATTAAATATTATTCTTATCATTACTATATAATTATTATTGGTAGCGGGGATGAGCATTCAGCAGCTTCGCCTGCCTAAGTGTCCTGTACTTCCTTGAAGTGTGGTGAAGATGTTATTATTTTTTATTCTTTATTTATCTATTATTGTTATTGATTTAGGATTATTATCTTTATTGTCATTATTATTATTATTATTATGTATTCTGGGAGCACTATTTACTTTTTATTATTATTATTATTTATTATTTTTATTATAATTATTATTTATATTATATATATATATATATATATATATATATATATATATATATATATATATATATATATACACACACATTTATTATATATATAATATAATATATTATTTTTTTATTATGATTTTTTTTATTTTTATTTTTTTATTATTATTTCTCCAAACTGGATATGATTGATAGACTGTATAATGACTGTATGATTGACTGTAGGTTTGTGACTGTGGTGGTGGTGGTGTGATGGACCCCTAATGTAAAAGCTTCTGCTTCTGGGAGTTCCATTTTCACAATGTAACACATGTACTTTTAGGGACTGTGTGAATTGTGAATAAACTAAACTAAACTGCGTAGACCAAAGAGTTCTGGGGGCCCTAAAACATAATTTCAGGGGCTATTTCCATTTCACTGTCATTTGGACATAACTATTGATTACTTGCATTGTTGAATATGAATTAAATACTCATTACTCATACGCTGTAGAAGGAGTGGACCAACAGAGTGCTGATGTCACCCATATTGTCTTATATGGGTGACATACAAGGTTCATGAGCGGGAATCTGGTGCCAAATCTGTGGATAGCAATGACCTAGTAACGCAACAAGCTGATCAGGAGCAACGCTGATGCTAAATCATAATTCATAAATCATACAGGTTTTAAATCCCAGAGGAGCAAATCTTCATCCATGAGCATTTCCCTTCATTGAGCGATACAGTCTATGGTTACTGCTTTTAATCTGTTTATTGGGGTAGAGGCGTGGCATCCAGTGTAAAATCTCATATTCCACTAATTTGAATTTATTTAACGACTGTTAATTACAGTTCATTCTTCCAATTTGAAGTTGAGTTCCAACTGGACTTGCCTCACGTTAATTTCACAAGATCTATAATCACGGTGTTAAAATGTTACACAACGTTTTCTGTAAACGGGCACCTCACAGGCATCATCGTTGCCCACATTAGTTTCACTTAGTTTCGCTCCAGTGTACGGGATCAGACCTCACACTGAGACCTGGTCTGTGCCCTCTCAGGGGAGCCGTGAGCCTACAAATTTCCACTCATAGACCCTCTATTCATTCCCCTTCAGTGTTGAACGTACACCTTTCGGGATTAAGTTACAAACGGCGAGTGTCGTGTGCCCGTGGCTATTGTGTTTAAAGAGAGGGAGAGCGATCCGGCGTGTGAAGTGGTGTCTAATCTTTGCTTTCTTTCCCCAGGGTTGACAAGGACCGCAGTGGAGTGATATCGGACTCGGAGCTCCAGCAGGCCCTATCGAATGGTGCGTATCATTTCCGGCGGTGACCGATGGCATTTCTTCCTTTTAGCAACGTTTGAGTCTTGCGGTTTAAGTGTCCTGACCTAAGTGTGTAAGCCTAGTTCCCTTTTCCATAATCCACCTGCCTCAGTGTTTCATTAGGTTATACTTATTGTGCCATAACTTTACAGCCACACATTATCACACTATACTTTTAGCATTATATGTAATTGTTGAAACTACTTGGATAATTGTAACTAAAGTTGGAACCTTTAAAGGGTTAAGTTTACATTTTAGAATTGATTAGTGACAGAACAGAGACTATATCTTATTGGGCCTAAACAATTAACTAACCAGGTCTTTATCAGAAAGAAAACCCATATACAGTGTACGTTTACAGCTATAGACCAGCTATAAATGAAAACTGAAGTATATTAATGCTGAGGTCCAGGTTAAAAAAAAATGAAATAGTTCACGCAACCCAGTCCACAAAAAATATATGAGTTCATTTTGAGTTAAAAGTGTGCTGTAATTGGCCAGATCAGTTATAAACAAATGACTGAAGTGACTGTTTTAATTATGTATACAAAATGATTGCAGGTCAAACCTACAATGACATCCCTAAAGTACTGTAGTGTGGTGCTAGTGTAGTACAGCTTGCATCTGTTTGACAGCGACTGACACATAATTATTGATATGACTCCCAAGTGCTTGTTTCACGACAAACTGCTGATGGGCAAAAATGTCAGGCCATCAAAACAAAGACGACATCAATCAACTGATCGTACATATTTGCCAGCATGCAGAAAGTGCTGGAAGAATGCAAAAGGAGGATTCAAATGAAAAGTGTGATTTGTTTTAACTATTATGTCTGCACTTCTAATACATGGTGATAAAATGTGGATGTGTGTCAAAATTGTACCAATATTGCAAAGTTATTTCTGCTGGGAAACTTTGCTCTTATAAATGGAACAGAAAAGGATAATTGAAGGCCGCAGTGTCTGTGTGTGTAGAAGAAGAAGAAGAAATACGTCAAAATTGACTTGAAACGCCCCACACGTCACCCTGGGATTTCAGTTGCTGTGATGGAAGTGCAATTGCTCTTAATCTTGTGGAGCTGGAGAGGAGAATGGTTCAAACAGGATTAGGTCCACTTCTCGTTCGTGCGCTGATAGAAAGAAGAAAGGGCACTTGTGATGCGGCAGGCGACCTGAAGAGCAGGGCAGAATAATGATACCGATCATTGTCCACGCCTGAGATTCACATCGAAATAGGCTTTGCTCTGTACGATCAAAGTAGCATCTTTAATTGCCTAAAGTGCCTCCTCTGGGTTAATCAGGGCAAATCCATAATCTAAATCAAATTGGGTACAGCCAATTAAATCAGGTCATGGCCAGGACTAGAACAAGGCAAACCAAGCTCACTTAAAGTTTATCTGATGCTAAACAGTTTTTCAAAGTCCACATTACCAGGGCTGGAACAATTAACTAAATCATTCAATAACAACAAATATTTGCTTCTACTTTCATAGCCTTGATTTTTTGATTTGTTAAAAAAAAAAATTGCTGTTCTTATTGATACTTATTGATAAGGAAAAGACAATTAATGAATGGGATTTTGACCAACTAATTTGACTGACCCCAGACTCGAGCGAGACAAGAAGTCTGAGTCTGAGGCGGTGACAAATTAGTTTTTGGTGTAGTTTAGAGATTTCCCTTTTGACCTTGTTCAAATTTACATAAAGTATGATTTATCATGTTGAATATTGGCTTCAGCGATTGCAGCAGCCGATAATGTTTTCCCTCTCATGATTTTATGACGCTGATTGTAATTCTCTCAATAACTTGGGCTTCTGCGCAAAGTCTCATAAAGAGATAACTCGGATTTTGGAGGAGAGAAGAAAAGCGGGGACAGCAGCAGCCACAGCAGAGAGAAAGCTTTTATCAAACGACGCAGTGGTTTGGCCTGGCATACTGATGAGAGTGTGTTAGTGTGAGTGTGGACGTGCTGCCAAGCTCCAAATCTACATGAAAGAATGTGAGACTGATTAGATTCAGGTTAACAAGCAAAAAAGAGCTGTTCCTTGTTGTATAATCAGTAGCATCATTAAAAGTCTGGTCACTCATGATTTCAATCACATGTAATGGCATTTTCTCTTGTTAGTCTAGAGTCTAAAGATAGCATCACTTGTTTTGGGTACAGATTTGGATTAAGAAATTCAAATATTGAGTGTTGTGGCAAGATCAAGAAAATACACCTACTCCAGGCAATTGGTAAATAGATGAAGCGTAATTCAATGTGCAAAGGATTCCGTCTGGTGCATCTGATAATTTCCCTTATTGGCAAGGCAAATTAACACTGTTATAATAGGGTTATCTATATTGTGCAGATTTCAGTCTGCTATCTGAAGACTTGATCCAGTCATTCGCAAAATCAACGCAAAAGCCATATGCGTTATTCTAAAGGAATAGAATGCAGCACACCAACTGTGTTCACTTTATGTGCATCTGCTGTCTGTGCAGAAATGCAAGGCCTTTGATGTGAAGGCTATTTTTCACGGCAGAGTGGGACTGGATACCAATGCGGACACGTTTAATTACTGTTCTCTTTTTAATAGCTGACAAAATGTATAATGATAAGCTTTGGGTGTTGTGATTCGTATTTTATGCAGTGAGTACGAGTACGTGTTGCTCCCAAACCGGTCTGACCAATCAGATACCAGTCTAAATGCGGGGTGCTTATCCGATTGATCAGATTGATAGCCTTGTGATGATTTCAAAGGTTCCTCATAACTTTGCCTTAGCACTCAAACTGTGGAACAAGAAAGAAATATTGTACATACTATTGTATATACTGTACTTTAAAAGGCACACTTTTGGCAACATCCCATATAGGTAAACTACAAGCATCCAATTAGATACATTTCTATCATAAGCACGTCTTTTTTGCCCTGTGCTCTCTTGTCTCGGTATTATCCGATTTACGTAGGTTAGAGTTGAAATGGTGAAAACTGCAATCCAGTTGTGCAATATGAACCTTAATTAGCGCTTCCTGGTTTACAAGAGTCTGTGTGAGTTATCAGAATTTCACTACACTATATAAAAGCACCCATTTAAAAACGTACACATGTCTGCAGAAACCCACCGAGTGTTTCCTAAATAACTCCATTATCTTTTCTTTAATAATAAATGTGCTCAAGTACCGGCTCACCGCTCCTATGGACAGAGCTTGTTGTTATGGCAGCTTGGTCCTTGGTCCTGTCTTGGCCACTTCATTAAACTTGGCACAAAATGAAACGAAACCAGTGGAGCTGAACTGCAGTTTTCCTGTCCTGCAGTCGTCCCACTAAAGCCACCAGGTCCTGTGAAAGCTTTATTGACCTGCAAACGGATCATCCATTTTGCACTTTTATCTCCACTGCTCCTGCTCCTCCCTCGGGGCGGTGCAGTGTCAAAGCCCCAGAGACAAAGACACCAGCAATAGACACCACAACATACTGTCCTTTGGATGCAGGCTTGAATTTGTATTTTTAAACTGAGACATCTTGTATCCAGTTTTTCTTCCAGGTTATCCCTTTATGACTAATCTTATTTATACTTAGGGCATGATTATGCATCCCCCTTTCATGGACTAAAGATTAGTAAATACTGTTTAACTCATTGCCTGCCAGCCCATTTCAGAACAGGTACTCTCATTTTGCCCGCAGTTTCTGATGATTTTTAATGATTTTTCAAGACCCTCAGAATATTGTCTTCTATAACTATCTGAAATCCAAAACCAGATTCTGGAAGAATGGACTGTCCTCTTTCATCAGCAAAAATAATGTTGTTTCAAGCTGGTTTCGTTCCCCTGTAATCCCCTGTTGAGTAGAGGGAAGTTTTACTGAACCACCAGTCACCAGTCTCAGACAAAAAGCTGAGAAAAAGAGGCGCAACAACTGCATCCTGTTTTCAAAACATCCAGACGCAGCGCTAGTGCCACCTGATGGCGCGATAAAATATGCTCTAAAGCTAATCCCCATACATATTAGATATAATAGACATCTGGGAACATGAAAATAGTGAAAAACGCGTTTGACACATTTGTGCGTCAATGGCAGACAATGAGTTAATCACAGGATATGTAGTAAACAATAAGTAGTTGAATAGAGGTAGGTAACAGTCAGATAATGGCTAAGCCCATCCCCATCCGCACAGTTCAGTCGGGTTAAGAAACTGTCAAATCACATTGTGAGCAAACACAACACTAGAAAACTTGTTTTGGGAAAATTGATGTCTCTGAGCACAGTGTGAAGTGAACTCTATGAAATATTGGCTGTCTCCGTCCTCGTACTAAAACCGGCTGTCTTCATCTTATTCATTTTAATCATACTTGTAAGAAAGAACCCTGTGAGTCACTTTTTGATGCTTTGGGCCGAGAGTTGATTGGCTGAGAGGTGAGTTAGGGTGCTCCTCTTTTTTCACATTGATCAGACAATATACCAGTAACATGGCCCTATAAATGTATAGTGCATATTTTAAAAAATCAACTCCAGCAAAATCAGCCCAGTCATGCCACCTTTTTTCCCTCTTTTGTTTCCTCTTGTTTCTCTGCTCTCTTCCCTCCAGAGACTGTGGCACCAGCACAGAGCCGGCTGTTTGCCCTTCACTTTGTCCTCTATCACTTCTACACCATTTCCCCTGCTTCATTGGCCGTCTGATAAAGCCAACTGTGAACAATGCACTTTTGAGATTTGATCTGTACGACTCCAGGCTCTGTTCTCTCAAACACCATGCACCCTGCTCACAGATCTGTTATTTATTTAAATGTTAGAAATAGTGTAGAAATATTGTAATGATAGCCTGTGAAATTGCTGACATGACTGAGTGACTGAGTGTGTGAGGCTTGCTGCGTAGAGAAGAGACTTGACTCTTAGTGAGAGAGAGAAAATCTAGGTTCCACATCGTAAGGCTACAGTCACTCATACATAGTCAATCGAAGTATTTTGTGCCCTCCGGTTGAGCTGGCGTAGAATAACTTACTCT